GTTCTTTCAGCGGCTAGGGTTTTTTGCGAGCTACATATCAAGGTGAGCGATCTAAGCTTAGTTTCTTTTCTTCTTTAATTTTTTTTTTCTTATTAGTTGATCGAATATCATTAATTCAAGGTTTTGTTTTAGTTATGGAACGATTTTGTATTGAAATTGTGATTTATGTTTCGATTTTTGAATACGTTTTTGAGATGCGTGTAGTCTTTTGCTTTTCAAATTAACTGCGAGTAGATCTTTGTCCTTCTCAGAAAAGATGAGCGGCAATTGTCTAAAAATATTTCGTGGATTTATAAGATGATATTATTATTAGACTTGGGTAAACAGTTTCTCTGGTCACGGGCTTCTTATGATTTTTCAGCCCAATCCACGAAGCCTTAGTTGAGCCCATGTCTTGTTATATATGTGATTTATTAATCTGAATCCGCTTAGCTCAGAGGTTAGAGCATCGCAATCTAATTGCGGTAGTCATCGGTTCGACTCCGATAGCGGCTGTTATATTATTTACACTTTATATTAGAATCCATGTGAGATTTCATGTGTACTACTATTATTTTTCTATGATTTGATAAATTGTGGTTTTCCTCTTTGCTTGTCATTGTTATTTTCTACAGTGAATCAGAATGGGTAAGGAAAAGGTTCACATTAACATCGTGGTCATCGGCCACGTCGACTCTGGTAAGTCGACCACCACCGGTCACTTGATCTACAAGCTCGGTGGTATCGACAAGCGTGTGATCGAGAGGTTCGAGAAGGAAGCTGCTGAGATGAACAAGAGGTCGTTCAAGTATGCTTGGGTGCTTGACAAGCTCAAGGCCGAGCGTGAGCGTGGTATTACCATCGATATCGCCTTGTGGAAGTTCGAGACCACCAGTACTACTGACTGTGATCGATGCTCCTGGACATCGTGACTTTATCAAGAACATGATCACTGGTACTCACAGGCTGATTGTGCTGTCTTGATTATTGATTCCACCACTGGTGGTTTCGAGGCTGGTATTTCTAAGGACGGTCAGACTCGTGAGCACGCTTTGCTTGCCTTTACCCTTGGTGTCAAGCAAATGATATGCTGCTGCAACAAGGTTAGATTTATAGCTAGCCTATTGTTACCATTTGATCGCTTCAATTATACATTACACTTATTTTTGTTTATTTAATACGATGTAGATGGATGCCACTACCCTAAGTACTCCAAGGCTAGGTATGATGAAATTGTGAAGGAAGTCTCTTTTTACTTGAAGAAGGTGGGTTACAACCCAGATAAAATTCCATTTGTTCCCATTTCTGGTTTCGAGGGTGACAACATGATTGAGAGGTCTACCAACCTTGACTGGTACAAGGGCCCTACTCTTCTTGACGCCTTGATCAGATCAATGAGCCCAAGAGGCCCTCCGACAAGCCCCTCCGTCTCCCACTTCAGGATGTGTACAAGATCGGTGGTATTGGAACTGTCCCAGTCGGTCGTGTTGAGACTGGTATGTTGAAGCCTGGTATGGTTGTGACCTTTGGTCCTTCTGGTCTGACCACTGAAGTTAAGTCTGTTGAGATGCACCACGAAGCTCTCCAGGAGGCTCTCCCTGGTGACAATGTAGGGTTCAATGTGAAGAATGTTGCTGTTAAGGATCTAAGCGTGGTTTCGTTGCTTCTACTCCAAGGATGTCTCCTGCCAAGGAAGCTGCCAGCTTCACCTCTCAGTCATCATCATGAACCACCCCGCCAGATTGGTAATGGTTATGCCCCGGTCCTGGACTGTCACACCTCCCACATTGCTGTCAAGTTTGCTGAGTTGCTGACCAAGATTGACAGGCGATCTGGCAAGGAGCTTGAGAAGGAACCCAAGTTCTTGAAGAATGGTGATGCCGGTATGGTGAAGATGGTTCCAACCAAGCCCATGGTTGTGGAGACTTTCTCTGAGTATCCGCCTCTGGGACGTTTTGCTGTGAGGGACATGCGGCAGACTGTGGCTGTTGGTGTTATTAAGAATGTTGAGAAGAAGGATCCAACAGGTGCCAAGGTCACCAAGTCCGCAGCTAAGAAGGGTGGGAAGTGAACTGTGCTGGTTAATCCTCTTGCGGTTTCCGCAGCTGATGTACTTTATCTTATTAATAGTTTAAGAGTCTTTGTCATTCTTGGTTATGATACATTTTGTCTCGGCTATAGTGTAGTGTTTTTGTTTGTCGGCGGCTGTTCTCAGAATTGGGTGCTGGACAGACGGTGGCAGCTATAGCGTGGGGAGTGCCTTGGTTTCCCAAGGTGGCTCAAAATTTTTGTTTTATGTTTTTCTTTCTGCTGCGGAATCATTGTCAGTCTTTGCTTTATTTTGATTTTTATTTCAGACTTGCTTTTCTATTTAGTCCTTTCTACTTCATTCTGTTCAATTGCTTCCATTATCAAATTATCTATCTTGTGTGAGCCCAAGGTTTTCTGCTTTATATTCATTTATCGTCTACGTGCATTTCTCGGGCTGGGCTGAATCCAACGTGCATTATGTCTTGAAAAGTGTTCTGTTGATTTGGTTTTTAGGGGAAATAGATGGGAAGAAGGTTGTATTCTGTAATGTTACTACTTGCAGTGGGAAAATTTATGCTCATTTGTTTCATGTTCGATGCAGACTTTGAGAAAAAATTCAACAAAAAATAATTCGGATTTTACAATAAAAACTTTTAATGAGAGACGTCAGAACAAAACTAAATTTCAAGTCTGAGGGCTTTTCTTACAAGGATGGATCGGCCCATGGGAAGGGGATTTTTGTGCATTATTTGTTCCTCCCTCTGATCTACTATTGTTCCCTTCCAACCCTTGCTTGGGTTGCTAACATGCTTTTCAAGCAATCAATGCAGTGGGCTCTGCTTGGAAAAGATGAACCTCAAACTTGGTTTTTTGATCAAAACCATAGCATCAGCGTTTCTTTATTGGTAAGTATGCCTTGGCTTCGAAGCCCCCCAGTAACAATCATCTTTCACTAATTATTCTTATTTGGCAAAAACTAAAAATTGGAAACAAGATGCAATTTGTACATGTCCAGTTGGTTAGATCCAATACGACAAAACAACAAGAACAAAAATTAATTTTGCTTTTTGGGTGAAATGAGTAATTAATATTAATTTAAGTCCAGAAAGAAAACAACCACAAGAGCCAAAAGGAGTCCAAATCTAACACAAAACCATATAGATATGTTCCTTAAAAACCAAAATTCTGAGCCACATCATGCCTAGAAATACTAGTTTAAACTTGGCTAAACTAGGCAGCTTTTGCTGTATAAGCCAGGCAACTGCAGGACAGATCCTGCAAAACAATAGCCCCATCTCCATCAACTTCACCTTCCATGATCTGTTCAACCGCAGTTTCAAAGTTTTCTTGAATACCCATTTCTCGATCTGCATGCAGACTCTCACTGACTCTTGATCTTTGCTTCTTCATGGCCTCCCTCCTGTGGTCATGATCTGCCATCCTACTCATCAAAACAAGCAAGGGAAGGCAAAAAAAAAGAAGAAAAATTATTTATTATGGCATCTAGAAAAGAGATTAACACATACTTATAAAGGCAAGAGAGAAAGAGAGAGATTTAAAAGTAGTTTTGTACTCTTCAGAGAGGATAAAATGTTGGGTGATGCCAGAAACACAGAGAGGAAGACCATAAGTTGTATGAAGGTTTAGCATGGACTGCATTTTTCTAGAAAATGGTTTCTGTAAGATGAAGAGAAGAAGAAAAAGTATTATAACTAGGAGTGGGGGGGTGGTTTCTTAATTCTAACTTTGTATTCTTGTGAATTTGATTGCTGGCTAGCTATTAGTATCAGATATATCCTTTTATTGTATCATTATTAGTATTAAATAATTATTTAGGATAATGGTTGAGACTGGGGAGCTGTTTTAAAACCTGTTGTTATGGTCAGGTCACCCTCTCCTTTCTCGTATTAAGTTTCAATCTCAGAAAACGTATTGGTATGGGTTCCCTGTCTCTCTTTTTCAAAGCATTTAACACCCTTAACTGAGGACTCGAAGATGGCTCTGTCGTTTTGTTTTTTTCTGGGTAAAGTAGTTAAAAAGAGTAAAGGCAGGGGTTGAAGGGAAAGATCCAAGTTTTTGGAGGCATTTAATGATTTTAGCAATGTCTCCTTTGCATGGCATGAGAATATAGCAATGATTTGTAACATTTGTCTCCTTGTTCAATTTGAGACTAGGACCACTCACAATTCAACCTAACAGAAAAAAAAAATCTTTTAATTAAATTACTATCATTTCAATTACTCAATTACTATTATACAAATAAATTTTCATTATTAGAAGAAGTGCACTACAGCCTTTCAAAATAATTTGAAATGATATATTTTAAAATTACATTGGACCATGATGGTGCTTGTAGCTACACTATAAAAAAAGTCACAAGAAATATAGATTATATTGTATTGAATTTTAATTTGATGCTTTTAAAAGAGTTTGTAAAAAATGTTATATTATATTAATTAACTGTAAAAATATGTGATTTTTGTAATATTTAATAATTTAAAAAAATAAATTAGTATTAATTATAAATAATTATTTACTTTTGTATCAATCATGGAAAAGTTAATAAAAAATAAATTTATGTTCGTGACATATATAACACCAACAGTTTCATTTGGAAAAGAGACAATAAAATAATGAAAAGGGAACCCCATAAGCAAATAGAATTATAAAAAAGAAAAAGCTCCTATTTTGATCACACAAAATGATCAAATTGTTTTATGAATGTCAGATATCTCTAATTATGATGATAATTTCTTATTCTTTTGCCATTCACATTTCTTTCCATTTATTTAGTATTTATTATTGTGTTGTTTCCGCTAGATCTGTTGTATATATAAAAAGATAAAATTTATTTAGCATCTAATTTTTTATAAGCTTTTAAGTTGAATTAATAAAAAATTTGTAAAGTAATATAATTATCATCATGTAATATTACCGTTTCTCTAGAAAATCAAAACAATAAATCCATGTGGTAGTCAATAGAAGTTTTGATATAATAATTTAGCAGTTTTAGATCAATAAGATAATTTACCTTGATTTCATTGTCAATGATATGTTCAACAAAGTTTCCATCTGCATCAAATATCAACCATGCCGTCTATACTTGACCCTCTGGAAGGTTTAGGATAGCATTCTCTATCAAATACACCAAATGGAAGAACTAATCGTCCAATGATGTAGTGTTCTACATGTTAGTTTCCAAAATTTACAATAATTCAACGATTTTAGTTTTGAATTGCTTAAACCCATTACGTGTGTTCCTAGTTGCAATATAAGAACGGTCCTACCATGTCAGTCATGAAAATTTGCTCTAAGCTCTAAGCTCCTTGACTTGCTTTTATTTTTATGTAAAAGCGAATATTAACCAAAACAATGGTCACAATGCAAAGGGAGAATAAAACAAAGGAAGATCTTACTAGACAACTAAATGGTTTTGCCATAGTTAAATATATAAATTGACTAACTACTCAGACTTTATTACCTTGGATTTATGCTGCAATGAATCATTCTCTTGGTCGTGATGAGAATTGCTCCATCCACTAAGCATCACGTCAGTGTATTGCATTAGCAATATACGTTGTTGCTCATGCGAATTTGACCTATTAACATAAATTAACCAACTTGCATTGCTTCAATTTCTACAGATTGTTAAGTATTTTCTGGATGTTAAAACCTTCCAAAAGGTGAAGTTTGTGTACCTCAAGAATAAAGACAACGTGGAGCTCATGAGATCATATTTTGATGAGGAAAATCTGCCAACTTAGTTTAGAGGAAAGGCTGTATTGCAGTACAATCATGGAGAATTCTCCAGACAAATGATCCAGGATGATATCAAATCTGCCAATTTGTGGGGATTTGATGATAAACTTCAAAGTGTTGGCAATGGGCACTCTCGACCTGAGGTGGCTCCGGAGCCAGTCTACCTTGCACCACCAGCTAGTTGTGAGCTACCTGTCATCGGCTTATTATGTAATAAATAGTTATATATTTTCTATGCAACTGAATGTGAGCTGGACGAAGCAAGATTATGACCTTGGCATTTGCTCTAACTGGAGCTGCAAGCACTCATCAAGTAAGGATAAACATTCTAACTTGTTGCTTTCTCAAAGGAATTTTATCTGATATTAGCCAAGAGGCCATCACAGGCATTTAATGAAAATTACATCTAATATTTACTAATTTAATTCATATAAAATTTGAAAAAATATAGCCTAAGCCTTAGTATGCATCATTCCAGGTAAGTTGCGTTTCACCCATTCTCCATTTTTCCTTGCATGGTAGATTATATTATCCAGATATATCAAAGATTAAAAACATGAAAGCTTTACCTGGCAAAAATGCAGGAAATTTTTTATCACCATGGCTGATAGCCATATTCCCCATAGCTCCTATAATCTGAGCTCCACCATACATAAAAGAACCTCTACTGCTTCCTTGAACAACTACTGAGCAACTGCTTGTACAGAAGACTGAGCCCTGCCTTGAACAGGATTTCAGTGGACAGCATTGACCTGCATTAGTGGAGAAACTCTATTGGCTTGGTTCTGATGTGGAGCTGGCTGATAAACCTTCTGTTTTGGAATAGCCATGCCTCTAACTTGTGCCCTGGAGTAAATTCTCATATAGAGAAAGAGTGAAGATGGGGTGCGCAAGCAAAGCAGGGGACTAGGCCTTTAAAGGGTTCACAACAGTTCGAGGATTGGCCACCATTTACCTGACCGCCGCTTTCTTTGTTAATGTTTACAGTTAAAAATAACATTAATACAAATTCAAAAGCCTAACATCTATCTCGATGTGAAATCTACAAGAAACTTTGTGAGGAGACTTTTTGTTGCAATTAATTAAACCTTTAATTGCGTTTGAATATCCAATATAGGCTTACAAAAAAATAACGAAATTATTTTTCTGTTAGTACCCAATAAGCTTTAAATTCGTTGAAAGGTGAAAGGTAGAGATCCAAAACCTTATTCATTGAAAGGTGAAGCATTAAATTAGGATTTGCTATTATTATTTCTGGGTTGCAGCCAAATCTTGTTGTTTTCATGGGGAAATACCTAGCTAGCCAAGTTCCTAGTTGTTGGCTACAGATGATTAAGACACTATATTCTTTTTTTTGTCATATCCTTGCTCCAAAGCCTGAAGCACCCATCTATTCTCTATCAGAAGACCTATCTTCCATTTTTCATGCTTCAAGACAACTCTTCTCTACAACAAAGAGAAGAATTGAAACTATCTTTCTACATAAAACTATAAAATGTTGCAAAAGGTTTACATTGAAACTAAAATAATTAGACAAAATCAATCCAAGTAAAATTACAACTTGCCTATCATAAGAAATGTTTGATGGGGAAAATCTGTAAATTAAAAAGCAAAAAATTAAACATAAATTTAAAACAAAGTCATAAATTTGACAAAAAAAAAAATAAAACACAAATACAAATATTAAGCTAACTTTTACCTTACCTGTTCAGCCAAAGTGCGTAAAGGAGACACAGATAGAAGAGAAACAAATGGCGGCGTGGCGTTAGGGGAAAGAGTGGGAAGAGAGAGAGAGGAGGTACTGATAGAGCAAAGAGAGTCCGACACAACAGGAGGGGGAACGGAAGATAACCGATGGGCAGAAGAGAGGCTAACAATAGTTGGGACGCTGGCCGTCGAAGGCAAACATACCACAAACAACAAAATGAGAAGAAGAAAATGGGAATGGCAAGAACTAAATCAATATCTATGTGCTGGTGATCATACGATTTCTCCAATTAGAAAATATTTTAGGCTAGAATCATTTATCATAAAGAAAATGGGATCCCTGCCAACTTTGTGTAGCATGTAAAAGGGACGTTATTTGAAATTGATTCCATTTCAAATGTTACAAACTTACAAACATTGTTTGTCAAATTAATGCTACTCAAACTATTGAACTTCAAAAATAAAAATAAAAACTATTGAACTAATTGATTTTCAACAAAGCCAATCAAATCTTAGATTCAAGTCCCATGCAAAACTATTCAACAAATAATTCTAATGAAATCAAAATCCGTAACATAAGACAGCTTGAAAATAGAAGAGCATAAACCTAAATTATTCATCTCGTCAAAAGATACATATTTTAAACCCAATACAAAACCAATCAATCTTAGATTCAAGTCCCATGCAAAACTATTATTAAAAGAATAATAAGCTAATAGTAAATCGCATCACCAATACGAAAAAATGAATAAAAACCACAAGAATCGATACTTACTATACAAAACTTGGAATTCTTGAATCAACGCCAATAGAAGAGAAACAAACCTTGACTGTTCAAGGAAAAGAGTGGGGAGAGAGAGAGAGAGCAAGTACCAACAAAGGAGAGAGAGTTTGATGCGACATGGAGGAAATAGAAGTTGATTGACGAGCAGAAGAGAGGCTAACGACAGTTGGAAGGCTAATCATCGGAATCGACGGAAGGGTAAAAAAAACCTTAATTGACAATCACAGTAATGCAAAAAGCCTAATATCAATACAATACCACTTTGAATAACCAAAGCCAAAATGGAAAGAAGCGGAAAGGCATTAAACGACGTCTTGATGAACGACAGTAAAAAAAAAAAAATTATATAGGGAGGGGCTCTAGAGGAAACTGAAACAGTAATCAAGCCATTCTACTTTTATATATATTATAGATGTATTGATAGTGTATTATTTTTATACACAGTAAGTCAATGAAATGTACCATTTCATTAATGAATTAATGAAGTAAAATTAAATATTTTTAAAGAGTTAATAATAAATATTTTAAAGTTTCAATATTTAATAAATAAAAAATCAAAATCTTTTATTTTCTTCTCAATAAAGATAAAAGACAATCATTAGTCATCTAACAAATTTTCAAAGCCCTAAGTCTCAACAATTACAGATGGTTCTTGCTCCCATAGTCTAAAGCAACAAATTCAAACCTTGATAATAAAAGAGAAAATGCCATAAAGAAGAGAAAAGAGAACAAGGACAAGGAAGAAAAGGAGGGACAGAAACGTGGGAAGAAAATAAAAGAACAAGTACAACATTCTTGGATGATTTGATAATGTAGAAAAATTATATATAGGTAGTGTATTAAATATAATCTTGGTATATTTTGAAGATTTATATTAGATGCAATTAAGCAGACGTTTGGTAATAATAACTTTTTTAATAAAAATAAAAACACTGTTTTCATTTAAAAAATAAAAATAAAACTCGTTTGGTAATATTCTTGTTATAAGAAACACTTAAAAATAAAAATATGAAAACATGTTTAGTAATAGCATATATTTATTTTTGTTATATACTAAATTAAAAACTATATGGTAAAATAAAAAATAATTAAGCCATATAAATCATTTAATATGCAAAATACCATTTCCGTAATTGTTTTATCAAATTCAAAACTTGCACCAAGAGGTAAGAATACAATCGAAGATATAAAATTCGAAGAAAAAAGTGACAATTAGAACAATGATTTTTAAAATTAACATTTAAATCAATCATCTACCATGGACACTTGCATAAATCTGGTTCATAATTTCATTTCTCACACAAGCCATTTGGCGAAGTCGACTACGAAATATATCAATATCAACGAGATTTTGTGAACTGCTACCACCAACATTTTTCTCGGGTCTCAAAAACATTTTTATCAAGGCCAATTTTATCTTTGTTTTAGGATTTAAGGTTTAGGATTTAGAAAGAAAAAAGAAGAAGCATCATAATTCACAGGGAAAAAGACATGAGAAAGGAAGAAGCATTGTTTTAACTAGGCATGCAAAGTCTTAAGAAACAGTAAATTAAATCCAAAAGATAAAATAAAGTTAAAAAGAAAAAGAAAGGAAAAGAAAAGAAAAAAGAAACTTATATGAGGTGGATCGGATCCGAAGAAACTCATTTGAGGTAGAAAAGCAAACAAATTAGAAAAAAAAAAAGATTTAAGGTGTGGTGTTAGAAGAAAGAGAAATAAAGAAAATAAAGGGGAAAGGGGTGGTTTGGTGTTAGCCTAATTGAGGTGGTTCAGCCTGTTTTTTTTGTTTTGAAAACGACAACAAAAAATGTAAAGCATCTTTTTTTTATGTTTGTGCGTTTTCCACTAATATCAAAAATGATTTCAAAAAAGAAAAACAAAACCAGAGTTGTCAAATACATTTTTTTGTTAGTGTTTTCATAATTATGCAAATAAAAAAAAATAACAAACACCTACATAACTAAACGGGGCCTAAAATAGAAATTTTTTATTTAATTAATTGTTAAATGTAATGAATATTTTTATGAATATCCATTTATATTATGTATATCTAGATTTGGATGTGAATTAGATTGAATTGAAATTAAGATTTAATCCATCCATCTAATTTAGTATTATTTTCATTTTATAAATTCTAACTAGATAAGTGTTATTGGCTTATAAATTCATTTATAAGTACACATTTGAAAAAAATCTTTTTACTCTTTTTAAATATTTTTTTATATTAATAAATCAATAGACTTTTTAATATTTAAGTTTAAAGCCCTAAATGAGGTCACAGTACATTAAATATAATTAATTATAAAAGACTCTGATAATCCAGTGGCGGAGAAAAAAAAAAAAGAAAATGAGCAAATCAAATCCATTGCTCCATTTCCTTTTATGTAAAAGCCACAAAATCGAGGGGCACAGCAGACGTATAAGAGAAGTAATATCTATGTATAAGAGAATTTAAAAAAAATTCTCTTCTCTTCTTTTAAAAACACATCAATTTTTCAAAAAATATTCCTTTCTCAATAAATCTCTCTCTACCTTCCTTCTCTCTATAAATCACCATTCTCCATTGCAAATAGGAGCTCCCTATTCTCTACCTTTTTCTACTAAAACTATTAAGAAAAAAAAAATAGAACACCCAACAACAGAATAGCAAAATTTATAATTTTTTTATTTTTATAAAAAATAAGAAAAAATAAAATTCAAAATTCAAAATTACATTCAGATACTATTTAAAAGGTTTTTTCTCTTTTTCTCAAAAAATGATTTTATTGTCAACTATGCAGTTACCTTTTTTCTCTTTTTTTTGTTTTTAAGAATTGAAGCATTATGGTCTTTAAATTAACAAAAATATAGTATTATTGTTATACAAATTTGATTTTAATATCTAAAATTGTATATAAGCTTCAAGTGTTCTGTTATAGTTTATAGTTGATTGAAGATGGCATAAATATTTAACTAAAATTAGAATTTATATAATTTATTTTGTTAAACAATTTATCAAACAATTTTAGCTTAATTTTAAAAGTTATTATTTTTCATAAGAGCTTCATAATAGCTTTTAAGCTAAAAATAAAAATAAGTCAAACAGGTTATAATTAAGTATACATTGAATGTAATTTTAATTTACTGTAAAAATGAATAGATTCATGATTTTCATTTAATAAAACTAATTACATTCATGAACTTGTTTTGGTTAAACAAATACATAGAATAATGATAATTCGTAAATGGTAATTAAGTAATATTCGTATAATCACAATGCACAATAAATATGTTAAGTTCAATGTTTTGGAAAAAGTGTTAAAAAATACCTTGATAAATTAGTTTTTTATTAATTAATATATAAATCAATAAATTATTAACTTATTGATTAAATAGTATCTTGATTAATTAATAAATTTTCATAATCTCAAAGGTGTTAATTTATAAAAGTTTTACCGTGATAATAGTGCATTAAATATAAATTCATTTAAAAGTTCTTAAATTTTAAATTTATTTATTAATAAAGTGATAATATTTTATTAATATATCATTATTATACATAAATAGTGCATCACATATAAACTCGTCAAACACTACCAACTCATCATATCATACCTTAAAATTTTTATGTCGAATGTTTAAAGTTAAATATCTTAGTCCAAAGATTACTCTTAACGAGAAGAACATATAATGCGTAATACATAATAATAGTTTGTGTCAAGGCAAATTTAAGCAAAAACACTAATTTGATCCAACCAATTAAATAACCATTTCTTGTATATGTTTTCAATCCTAAATTATGTGAACTTAGATCCAATTTGAAATTTGAAACCCAACTAGTTTGACTTAAAATAATTTCAGAAATTTTAAGAAATAAGTCTAGCATATAATTTAAATTTAATTTGAAAATTCATGAAAAATAAATATGATTGTAGTCGAATTTTCAAGTTTCTTTTCAGTTTTTTTTATGTTGTTTGAAAATATTAATAATTATCTTTATCATTCCTTCTAAACAAACAAATTTTTGGTGCTTGTTTTTAGAAATAATATTTTATTTTCAGTAAACAAACATATTTTCATAACATTTTTTTTAAAAAAAAGCATATTCTAAAATCAAATTTAGCATGACCTTTTAAATTCTAATTCGAGATTATTGCTTTCCAAAAAAGGATACGCTATGCTTTTTATCAAAAGAAAAAAAGGAAGTGTGAATGGAATCTAGGATGATGTTCTCTACAATTTCTCACAAGCTTCTTAGAATTGGTAATGCAATTTCAGGCCAAAAGTATGGTGAAAAAAATAAAAAATAAAAAAAATAATTGACATAATATTTAAATAAATTCATAAATTATTTAAAAATATTTAAATAAAATTTTATTATTTTATTAACTTCATATTTTTTATTTTTAGTTAAATAAATCTTTTTTATTAATAATGGACTAATTATCATTACTAAAAATATCACTTATTATTTTATATTTATATAACACTAATATGATATTGATGTAAAAAGTAAAAAATATTACATGATTATATTATCATATCAAATTAACATATCATACTATTATCAATTTTGATACTTTAATATACTGCATCATAATTAATTATAATATTTTAACATATTATGTTAACGTCATGCGATATAAAATAATAAATAATATTTTAACTAAATTAATGATTAATCATAAAATTTATTTAATTTAAAATAAAAAAATATAAAAAATTATTTGATTCAAAATAAAAATATAAAATTTGATTGAATATAATAAAAATTTTAAAATTTATTTAAATTTTTATAATAATTTAAAATTATTATTATATATTATGTTAAAATAATTCACTTATTCCTACGTGTAAAATGCCGAGGAATGGTTGAGAATCAGGTTTAGATTCATGATTTGACTTTGTCAACCAATCAATGCTCCATGTAGCATTGTCTTTCAACTTTTTCTGTTTTTTTTTTTTTTAAAAGGGATTGTATCGTTGAAACAATTCGCAACCTAACTTTTTAACTTTTTATTAATTTGTAGCCATGCGTATGGTATTGCGCATCCAATGGGGTCCCTATTTTCTCATGGTGGACTTCTGATGAGCCCTTCTTGGCTCCTTCTGGTTATTTCCACCAAATTTCCTCTTTTTTTTTTTTTAAATAATCCTATTACGGGGGAATTGATCCCACTTGGTGACCTGACATTGAACTTGGATTTTCAATTGAGTTTTTAATGCATACGATTTGAGAAATTGATATTTGATTGGTCGAGTTTATCAAATAAATTAATAATCTCTTAGATTTTTATTGATATGTATAAGTGAAATATATTTCTCATCATTTTTAATAATTTTTTAAACAATTTATTATAAAAAAATAAAAATACATTAGAAAAATTAAAAGTAAAAATGGTATTTGTAAGCTTAACTTTTTTTTTATAATGATGATGAATATTTCTTGTCTTCCTATCATATATTATCATGTATATTATTACTCACAATACTTTCATAATTTATCATTTTATTTATAATATTTCAAAATATTTTTATTAACTTAACATTAATTCGAATGACTTAATAATTGAATCGTAACCCCGATGATATGTAAACTTTAATAAGTAATAATTTATGGCTCTAATTTTGAAAACAATACTTTTTTTCACGGTTACATTGAAGTAAATTACAACCGTTATATATGAAATTCATATTCTTTAATATCTTTGTCTTTATAATTTAAAGTCTTTTAGTTTTATCTTCAAATATTTGTTTTATATCAAATAAATGCTTTAGTAAATTTAATGAAATTTAATGACTAAAACATATGTCAAATATATTGGTTGAAAAAATTGAATATGTCATTTTTAATGATTTAAGTAATCTTAGGTTGATAAATGATTTTTTTAAAATAATTACAATTTCAAGAATTTTAAAAGATTATTTTGAGTAAAAAAATTTTAAATTACCTTGTTATTTATAACTTGTAATCTATAAAAATTTCACACTTCATGCAATTTAATCTTTTTTTTGTCGGTGAGATGAGATTTAATCTTTAACATTAATATTCATTCATTTTCAATACCGTACATGCAAATACCAAAAATCCGACGGCTAAAACACCATCTAGGCAGTCCAATTCTCAACTCACCAGGTCAACCATCTCAAACTATCTCAACATTCTGCTTACGTGGCAGAATCACAGCTAATGTCAGATTGAGTCAACGTATATACAATCGTACCTTAGGAATTCCTGGATAAAATGGAATTTTGCATTGAATATATGAAAAAGAAAAAAGCACAGGGAGGCGTGTATTACAAACCAACACGCAACTTCACCGAAACTAAACCCGGACGTGTTCCCCGTCAAAAAACCGGATTTGATAATCGGCGATAAGTCCGGCTACTTTTGTAATTTTATTTTGAAAGGATTGGTTCCTTCTGGTTGGGTCTCTTTGGTCAAAAAAGGAAAAAAAAAACAAAAAAGAGAAAGAGAAGTCGGCGTCCTCCACAGTCTGAACCCTATTTCCCCGATTTCTCTTCCATTTTTCAAATTTTCCATTTACTTTTTCCTGTCCTTTCATTTTTAATCAATAATCAGAAAAACCCTGTGAGTCGCTTTAATTTGATTATTGGATTATCGCTTTCTTTGAAGATTGATTGATTAATTAATTTATTTAATTTCATTTACGCGGTTTTGTTTTAGTTATTTTCTATTAGATCGATTGGTAATTTTTGAGCGTTTAGGTTTTTGATTACTGGTTTTTTGCTTGGCTACAGATTGTAAACTGAACATGGATTTGGTGGCCAGTTGCAAGGTATTTTACTTTTATATTTTTTGTAAAATATTTTAGCTTTATTTTGATCTTTTACATTTTGAGTAGCTCGTGTTATTTTTTTGTCTTCTTCAAATATGGTATGCAATTATATAAGACTAAACTCTTGAAATATTGTTTGAGGATAGAACTTTTTATATCCTTTTTTTTTGTATTTTTTTTATCAAATTCAATTTTCTAGGTTAACATTCATGTAATTTAATTGTTGGATAGGGAGTATCGACTGCTGAACTTAGTTTCGATAATGGGGATATGCTCCTGTTGTAACATATGGTATAGCTTATGTGGCTTTGTGAATCTAGTGCTTTTTGGTTTGTAGTAAGTTTATTGTGGATACTTTTGTTGGCTTTATAGTTCTTTTATTTGGTAGAATTAGTGTCAGCTGTGAACAAAGGCCTTTTAATAGCGCTTGGCTACTCTTAACTTTATTTTATATAGTCACTTAAAAATAATGGAATTTTTTATTTATAATCAGAATATCAGATCACCCTTTTACGCTCTATTTTAGCAGATAAGTGGTCTGTTTTCAGTTGCTACTTGTTATGCTGTGATGCTAATATGTTGATATATAATCTTTTTAATTTGCTTATGAAGAGTTTATTACAATATGATATTCCTATTGTAGGATAAATTGGCGTATTTTCGAATAAAAGAACTCAAGGATGTTCTCACTCAATTGGGTCTTTCAAAGCAAGGGAAGAAGCAGGTTAGGGGCTTGATATAGTGCACTGTATCTATCTTGTATGAGTATGAGAGGGATGTCTTTGTTGAGTCTTATCTTCATTGCTGTGGCATTGTTCTTATTATCCTGAATTCTTGGTTCCCCCAGCCCCCCTCCCCCCATTTTTTTCCTTTTTGTATTTGTTCCCTGTATAAATCTGTTCAAGATAATCAGAGATTTAGCAAATTTGGCAGCCTTAAAAATTTAGGGGATATGATAATTGTTGTTCCGTCAATTATCTGTATTTTTTATCATAAGTTGCACCTTCATTGTGTAGGATTATGTTTGACCTTTCTGTAAATTCATTTATAGGACCTTGTTGAGAGGATATTAGGTGCTCTCTCTGATGAACAAGGTAAAATATTTCATCCCAGCTCTCTCTCTCTTGTTTGAATAGACGATTCATAACCACTATAGTGATTTATGGGTTATATTATCTTTTAAATATTTATTGTTTCTGATGTTACTTGGCTAGCCTAAAACATAGGTTGTTAAAGTGCTAATATTGAGCTGTTGATATTCTTGTGTCTGCAAAATACTCACACAGTCAAATTGTTGGATGTGCATTGGTAATCAATTATGCTAGGAATGTTGCAAAAATTTTTTCCAGTTTCAGCTCTTAGTAGGACTTATATTAGTCAGTTTTTTATTTCCTTTTTGAGATGTGGGATGGGGTTATCAAGGAAAGTAATTATGCTAATGTTTTTCTGCCTAATGTGGCTGTAGGTTTGTTGGTTTGCAGATACTGTAGCATTTAGCTATTTTTTCCATTAATTTCATTATAATTTGTTGATGCTTCCAATGGCTCTCTGTAAAGTTTGGTTTGTTATGAGTGCAATGTTTTTGTTGAGGAAGGGGAGGGAAGGGGTTGGATACAAGTATGCTTGTCAGTTGAATTGTACTATTTTCTGAATTTATAGTGTCATTTGACTGTAGATAGTTCACTTTTGGCTCATAAATTTGTTTTATCTGTTCAGAAAATATTCCTTTTAACCTTTATAATAAACTTGGGTCTACTTGCTGTTTCCCAGTTGCAAAGATGTGGGCAAAAAGGACTCCTGTTGGAAAGGAAGATGTGGCGAAACTAGTCGATGACATATACAGGTTTGTGTTTACATCTATTTCTATTACAGAATATAGATGGCAACCTTTACAATGGGATTAGTTGTTTCTTTTTTTTTTTCCCTTTTTTTCTTGTGAACAAAGTATGACTTGCCATAAGCAATGCTGGCTAATTGAATCTAGTATATCTGATTATCCACTTATGATCTTTGTCTGCTCTGTATTACCTTCCTCTCTCTTAAGTGTATTTCTCTTTTTCTTTTCTACTTATTTCTCTAAATTGTATTTCTTGTCCTCAGAAAGATGCAGGTTTCTGGAGCCACTGAATTGGCATCAAAGGGACAGGGTGTGTCAGACAGCAGTAATGTAAAAGTTAAAGGGGAAATAGATGATCCCTTTCAATCAGATATGAAAGTTCGTTGTCCCTGTGGAAGTTCATTGGAGACTGAGAGCATTATTAAGGTAATGATAACGAGCCTGATGTTCTTTGACCTCATTATTTTATGCTAATGATGATCTGCTGTCACAAGCATTCAATTGGAATGTTGGGTTGGCTGTAACTTTTTCAGTTCAATGTTATGTTACTTTATTTATGGTTCTTCAAGTTCGGGTTTGGGTTTGTTTGATTTGAAATTGTATATGATGCTCAATTTTCATAGTACTTCTACATTTTGCTGTTATCATCTCATGATCTAGGTTTTTGCTCCTTGATTCATACACTTAGATTCAAAGTTCTTATATTATAAAATTGCTTACTTTATTTATTAACTCAATAGTTTTTTTGTAATTCTGGATGCTTTGAGGTCTTAATGAATCTGATAACTTTTTGATGGGCTTTGGGAAACTGTCTTGTAAAATTGCAGATAGATAGGCTATAAAAAAAATGAAATAGGCGAATCAGTATGGCAGTGGTGTATTTACTTGGAAACACTGACTTTGAATAAGAGTGTATAGATTCGGCAGATTAGACTTTCTCCTAGATTTCTTCTTGCCACTAAAATTTATGGTGAATTGTTGAGTTCCCTAAGGACCTCAAATTAGCTCTTTACCCTTGTTCTAATGACAGTGCGAAGGTCCAAGATGTCAAGTGTGGCAACATACTCGTTGCGTTATAATTCCAGAGAAGACTATGGAGGGGAATCTGCTAGTTCCTGATTTATTTTATTGTGAGATTTGTCGGCTGAGCAGAGCTGATCCGTATGTCTCTCTCCTTTTTTTTTTTTTGGTGGCCAAATCACTCTTCTATGTTTATTTGTGTGTGTCTGTGTGTTTGTATGAGTGTGCTTCCAGGATGTATGATTACTGCAAATTGATGGTCCTGCTATGTACTGGTTTACTGTTTGGTTATTGCTGAAGTTTAATTTTATGATATGTGAAAATGTTTATTTTATTTAACATCTCATTGCAGGTGTTCTATCTTCAATTTATTATGTGTGTTGCAATATTAACATGGCAGACTTTTGTAGTGCAGTTTGGTTGGATTAAAAGTAATTACTGGTTGGGCTTCTTTGTAGTCAGAATAAAATTAGGATGCAAGACTTGTAAATATAGACTAGCTTTTGTGCCACCCACTACCTAGGCAGAAGAAAGGAAAAGTGCACTTGAAACTGAATATATATATATATTTGAAATGATCATATCAAGTTGACTCAATTTGAAAGTGGAGTCAAACCTTTTCTTGGGAAAAAATGAGGGATATTTTCTTTTCTTTTTTTTTTTGTTTATTCTGTTATCTACTCTTAACTCATTGAGTTTGTATCTAATATCTCAGTGATGCCACTGAGGCAGTGACTTTTAATATAAATAATATAGATTAGGTATTGTGATTGGAGGTATTTAATAGAGCTATTTCACTTTCCTATTAGGAATTCTTTTAAGAGCGAGATACTGCTACTTGTAGCTGTAGAATGCTCAAAAAGGTTATGCTAAATTGGCTCTACTACAAATGAAATATACTGTTTATCTAGTATTTATTGCTCACTGCATCATATATATATATATATCTAACTGTTTCATGATAACAATATTTCTGTATTTGCATTCTAATTTGTATACTCTTATGTCTCCATCTAGATGCGTCTAGAGTATCTTTTGTTGGAAAATTCATGTTACATTCCTTTAATTCCTGATATGACTCCCCTTGTGCAGTTTTTGGATTACTATTGCGCACCCTTTATATCCAGTGAAGTTGGCTGTTACAAATATCCCAAATGATGGGTGAGTGCACTATATGAGAAACAGTAAAGCTCTTTCTTTTCCTCCATGAACTGCTCTGTCAATTAGGTGTGAATGTCAACGTGTTTGTGCTATTTGTATAATGCTTTATGACTTTGTTTGTTTAGTCTAATAATTCAAATCCAACATTTTACAGTACAAATCCAGTCCTAAATGCGGAGAAAACATTCCAAATCACTAGGGCAGACAAGGACTTATTGACAAAACAAGAGTATGATGTCCAGGTTGGCTAGTGTAAAAAAATGTGTTCAGTTTGATAATATGCTTTTTGGTTATCTATTGTGATGTTTTTGTTTTTCATCTGGTCATATAGGCATGGTGCATGCTTCTGAATGACAAAGTTCCATTCAGGATGCAGTGGCCTCAATATGCAGATTTGCAAGTTAATGGTATGGTTATTTATGTGTTGCTTTGATTACTTAGTGGTTTAACGGCTCCTTTCACAAATTCAGCTTAATTGCTTTGCTGGTGTTTATTGAATTTGTTGTCACTTGAGCAGCATGCGTGGATCTAGCTTAAAAAAAAGAAGCATGCTTAGCATGTGTGCCATATTTTTTTTCCTAATTGCAGCATCATTTTTCTCCATCTTTACATCTACTAATTTCTATGTACGTTTTCCATTTCAGTTTTGATTAGTAATCGTACAACTGATTGTCTTTAAACAGGCTTACCTGTTCGTGCTATTAATAGACCTGGCTCACAGTTGCTTGGGGCTAATGGCCGTGATGATGGTCCGATTGTGAGTTTTGTCCTTCTATAAAACAGTTTAATTCTTTTTTTGTTCTCAATTATATGTAATCATATTCTCCATAATTTTTAACTTTACATGTGTATGCATGTGATTGGAATGGGTGGGGAAGCTGGCAGGCAGGTTACTGCATGTGCTTTACAATTCTGTTAATATTTTTTTACCTATTTAAGAAACATTTATAGTATGGTGTCTAATCAATTGTTTATCGTCTATTCTGTTGTCAGATAACTCCATGTACTAAAGATGGAATTAATAAGATAACTTTGACTGGATGTGATGCTCGCGTATTCTGTTTTGGAGTTAGAATTGTTAAACGGCGAACTGTTCAACAGGTGTGTTAACTAACTTCAAATTTTTATCTTTTAAGATTGACCTTTGGATTTTTTGCATTTTGGAATTACGAGATTTATTCCATTGCCGTCTGATGGGCTCCAAAGTTGAAAACAATATATGCTCAATTTAAAAAGTATAGAAGCTCTGCATGTAACAATTTTTATCCAGTGCCTGGAAGATCCGTTATTGATTTTGGCAGTATTGATCAGTTTAACAATAAAGCAGAATAGAATGCAAATATATTTACTGCTGTCAGCACTGATCAGTTTAACAAAAAAGCAGAATAGAATGCAAATATATTAACTGCTGTCAGCATTGATCAGTGTAACAATAAAGCAGAATAGAATGCAAATATTTACTGCTGTTATGCGTGTCTGTTTTATTTTCATATCTCTGCAGACTGCAATCTAGTTGCATTTCATGTTTATTGCAAAAATCATTACAGATTAGACACTTGACCATTTGGTTATCACTTACTGGCATTTTTGGTGAGGTGCTTGTGTCAACAAGACATTGACATGGGTATGGGATCAGAGTCAGATTAGAGGAGAGGAATGCCGCAATTTGGGTTTAATCTGTGCCCTAAATAAAGCTTTCTTGTCACCTTTCTCTCTGTTTTTTCTTCTTCTATTGCTTTAAAAATCTTCATACCACACAACGAACAAGCACAATTATCATCAATTTAAGGAAATTGAAAGAAAAAGAATGTAGCACAGAGAGAGAATGGGCCTTTGTCACTAGAAACTTGTGATCATGAAGATTAACTGAAGTAAAAGGCTGGATCTGGAAAAATGGCGAGATTACAGGCAGAGAATGAAGGGAATATCTAGAAAAGGGGAAATAAAATTTGGGGCTTCTATATTTTTTTTATTTTGTTTGAAACTGATACGTAAAGTGCTCCACTCTTCATATTATTAACATGGTCAACTTATTTTTGTTTCCTTGGTTTCGTTTGGGCTATTTTTTGTACATGCTGGTTTGCATTGTCTGGGGCCATTTTAATAGCTGAGGAGATGGTTTTTCCGCCAGAATCTATTTAAATATATGGGGCTGGCTATGAGGCTGGCTTGCTTTTATGATTTTGGTATTGTTTTTAAGGCCACAAACTAATGATATCAAGTTCATCCCAAAGCTAATAACATCAAGTTTAACTTAATGAAAGATAGATAAACTACTAACAGGAATTCAAGCATCTTAGTATTAATACTTACCTTGCTAATAATATCAAGTTTCTATGCAAGTGAAGTTTACCTTGCTATATCACTATTTTTGTTGTCTTTATGTTTGTATTATATTCTTCTGGCCTGCCTAGGTACTTAACATGATTCCCAAGGAGACTGATGGTGAACGTTTTGAAGATGCTCTTGCTCGTGTTTGTCGTTGTGTTGGTGGTGGAACTGCAACCGACAATGGTGATAGTGACAGTGATCTAGAAGTTGTGGCAGATTTTTTTGGAGTCAACCTACGTTGCCCTGTGAGTTATATAGTTGTTACAAATGCTAGCAATCTCTTCCCAAATATTTCAGTAGCTGTGCACCATTTTTTATGCTAAGAAACAAGAATACTGCATGTTTAATTGGACATCATTTTTTTAGTGCTTAATTGGTTTATCTTCGAAAGTGTTCTTGGAAGAGCTCATGCCTTGCAAAATTCAGGGATCAAAAGTATCACATACCTACCAGCAAGGTTTTTGTAAAGTGTGTCAATACTGTTAATGGTGGAAGCTTCTAGGGATGTCGTGTGTGCTTGGGTGTATAGTATTAATGTTGGCTGAAGCTTTCTTGCATTGTCATAAAGGTGTTCTTAACATTAAGAAGATGCACTTCATCCTATATTGAAGTGCTTTCTCAAGATGTCTAATCTGTCATGACAATAGGTTGGTTTCGGCAAGCTGAATGGTGTGGCCTATATGATGGATTTATTAGTTTACATGGACATTGTTTGCCGTCATTCACTTGTGCTTTGTTCCATAAAGAACTTACCTATTATAGCACCATTTGGGTTATATTTGTCTGCTTATTAGGCTCTATGACTGCTTATATAGGCTTTGTTTGGTTGATGTGTTTGTTTTTTGCTATGTCTTTGGTTTTATATTCATTTTTATTTTTTGCTTTTTCCATTCTATTCATTCTTTTGCAAAAGCAAAAGGCAAAAGTATCATCAACCAGATGGAGCCATTTTTGCTTTCAATAGTATGTTTATATTAAATGCAGCATTTGATTTACTGCACCCTTGTTTTGAAGTTGCTCCAATTATTTCTGATATTCATTTCTGTGTTTGCCTGTGATAGATGAGTGGTTCAAGAATGAAGGTGGCTGGAAGGTTTAAACCTTGTGTCCACATGGGTTGTTTTGATCTTGAAGTTTTTGTGGAGCTGAACCAACGTTCTAGGAAGGCAAGCAACTATAGTAACATGTTTATTGTCATGTATAATTCTTTTTTAGGCTTTTGACAAGCTTTGTATGTGATTGCAGTGGCAGTGCCCAATTTGTCTGAAGAACTACTCATTGGAGAACATTATAATTGATCCTTATTTTAATCGCATAACATCCAAGGTGGGTACCCTGTAGTTCTGCTGTATTTTATCTATGATGTCAATGAGTGATGACCATGATTAACTGTGGTACAGATGAGAAATTGTGGAGAAGATATTACTGAGATTGAGGTCAAGCCTGATGGTTCTTGGCGTGCAAAGGCTAAAAGTGAAAATGAGCGTAGAGAACTTGGTGATCTTGCACAATGGCATTCTCCTGATGGTACTCTATGTGTCCCTGGCAGTGCAGAGGTTAAGCCAAGAGCCGAAACGTCGAAGCAGCAGATCAAACTTGAAGGTGCTTCAGAAGGTCATACAGGTTTGAAACTTGGAATCAAGAAGAATAGCAATGGGGTGTGGGAAGTTAGCAAGCCTGAAGATATGAACACATCTTCTGGTAGTAGATTACAAGATAGATTTGAACATCATGAGCAGAAAATTATTCCAATGAGCAGCAGTGCAACTGGAAGTGTTAAGGATGGTGAAGATCCCAGTGTAAATCAGGATGGTGGTGGGACTTACGACTTTACAAGCAATGGGATTGAACTTGATTCCATGCCTCTGAACATAGATTCGGCATATGAATTTACAGACCGAAATCTATCTGCACCCATGGGAAATGCAGAAGTTATTGTTCTTAGTGATTCGGATGAAGAGAATGACATATTGGTATCTTCTGCAACTCCCTATAAGGATAATCAAAATGATGCTTCTGGACTTAATTTTCCAGTGGCTCCTGGAATTTCTCATCCATATTCAGAAGATCCAGCTCTTGGGCCTGCTGGTAATTTGGGTCTTTTTCCTACTAATGATGAATTTGACATGGGTCTGTGGTCATTACCTTCAGGACCCTCAGAAGGCTCCGGGTTTCAACTGTTTAGTACAAATGCAGATGTCTCAGATGCCTTAGTTGATCTGCAGCGTAATGCTCTCAATTGTGCTCAATCAATGAATGGTTATACATTGGCTCCAGATGCAACAATGGGATCTGCAAATCTGGTCCCTGGTTCTTCCATTGGTCAGACTGATACAGATATAAATAATAGCTTGGTTGACAATCCCTTGTTTGGTACAGAAGATCCCTCTCTTCAGATATTTCTGCCAACTCGTCCTTCAGATGCATCAGCACAGTCTGATTTGAGAGATCAAGCTGATGTATCAAATGGCATCCGTACTGATGATTGGATTTCACTTAGGCTTGGAGATGGTGCAACTGGTGGTCATGGGGACTCGACAACAGTGAATGGATTGAATTCAAGGCAGCAGATATCTTCCAGAGAACGTACTATGGATTCTTTGGCGGACACCGGTTAGTTTCCTTGTTCTTTTGAAGTGCTATAGTGTTGTAATGTTTGTTTAAACTTTGCCATGTCATGGCCAGCAAATAGGAAAGGCTTCAAACTGGTTCTATGCAAGCATGTGTAATTCTTGGACGGTGCTGTTATATTTTGTTGAATATGATTAGTAGTGGATCTGTTCTAGTGTTGTTTAACTATTTAATTGCCATCCTTTTATTTTTTTCAGATTAGGTTCGCTATGTGCAATTTGCACATGATATGTTGCATGTGAGTATTATTAATAATTTTAAGTTAGAATTTATTTGTATTCGGATTCAATTAAAATCTATTTCATTCTTATTGATTGAAGTGTAATTAATGATTTTTTTCTCACCCTGAATAATTTGTCTAGATTTCATTAAAAATGGAGGCATGTTATTAAAAATAAGATTGAGAATGCAAAGAACAAAACTGAAGATGTTTTATATGTTCAGGTAGAAAGAAATTTACTTGGGTGTAAAAACTAGGAAACATGATATAGAATGATCCAAATATCAGTATGAATTACGTATATAAATATTACTGAATAAATAAAAACAAAAGTAGTCTTATCCTTATGAAAGTTGCACTTTGCTTACCTTAAGAATGCCTATATCTGTGAAACTAGGAAGCACCCCAACACTAAAATTTTAATTATATCATGATAAGTTTAATCAAAATAGAACTAACATTATAAATAGTTGTAATGCTTTTGTCCACTTTTACAGTATATTAATTAGTTTAAGTTTGTAGATGTCATAATGATTAATTTTCACGAGGGTACTGATGGAGTTTGTTGCTCTACATCTGGCTTATAAGCACTAGAATCATAATTCACTGCATTAGCATTTCATTGCTTCATCAGTCATTTTTTTTTATTCTTTTTTCAATTTCTGGCACTGACTGACTGTTCCTTCTTTCTGCAGCTTCTCTGCTGCTTGGTATGAACGACAGTAGATCTGAGAAGTCTAGTAGGCAAAGATCCGAGAGCCCTTTTCTATTTCGGCGGCAAAAACGTTCTGTAAGACAGAGATTATATCTTTCTATTGACTCAGACTCTGAGTAATTGGACTTGTTTGCTGAAAGTTACTGGCCCTCCTCACTTTGTGAATTTTTGGGGAATACAAGGCATCTCATGGAGAAATTTGGTGATCACTCGTGACTGGCATGCCAGTGGACGTGAAGCGGAAATTTCGAAAAGGAGCACAGCTTAAGGTAAGAATGGCTGCAAGGGAACTGTCCTATCTCCGATGGTCTTTGAGCTGGCAACTGCAGAAGTTTTTTGTTAAAGAGGGTGAGCTTGGGGCGTTATGCCTGTTAGTGTTGTCTGCACACTCGACGAAGCTCTACTTGTAACAGGGTTGTTACAAGCAACTTCCACCACAGTTAAAACACAGATGAGCAGGTCCGATTGAATTTGTACAGTTAAGTCATTTAGTCCGAGAATTGGAATTACATCCATTGTTTCAAAACCTTTGGATGCATTGCAGTGGGGAAACAACCCTGAAGTAACACAAGGATCCACCATTTTGACTCTTGGTTTAAGATGAGATCAAATAACCTGTAAATTCACTCAAAATTCAGTTACTTAATAGAGAAATGCTATATTATCAAATTGATGCCCTTTGTCAGCCAGGTTTGACGGCCGTCACTCTTCTGACACTGTTGACTGGAATTTTATTTTTAGTTTTAATCATGAACCATATAGCATGGATTTTGTGGAGCACTGTTACCCAAAGAGGAAACACAAAATCTGCATTCTCTTAGAAGATGAGAAACATTGAACCTAAGTTGCATTCATGGTCCCAACATTATAAATTCTCAGAGTCAACACCAATAACGACAGAAAGGGGACCATTTGTAGGTGTACTATCTCAAAAATGGGTGCATATGTTAAAAGAGAGTGGCATATGTTATAACAACTATGAACTATGAATCTCCGGGGCAATGCCATTCTCATTCTTAATCTGCCTTGGAATGCCTGAAGCTGTCACAGCCTGGGCAATTGTGCAAACTCTCGTGAATATAAATATCACAGTCGAGGCAGAAGTACCGTTTGCACTTTGGGCACACAACCAGAAGGCCAGGTTTGTTTCCTGAGTCAAAACCAGCAAGTATCAGGAAGGAAAATTCTTGAATACAGGCGAGACGTGATGAAAGAACAATTGACACACATTACAGGGTCAAAATACAAATTTGATTAATTGGCCACAACATCTCGGCGTATCCTGCAAAACCTAAAACTTAAAAAAGGGCACCTGTGCATCGCCCCTTTTGAATGGATATTCTATTCCTCCATAGTACATAAGTTCAACAACCACTTCTTTCTCCCAATGCAGCAGTCATAGTTCTAAATAATAATATCAGCCATTAGCATAGCAAATAAGTTGGTCAAATCATCATTACTTCTACACCTGTTTTTTTTTATGAAAGGCAAAGGTTTAATAAAATGGTGCATTTCTTTCTTAATAGTCAAGGAAAAAGCATAGCACCTTAACCGTAACACCTATTTGCAACCCTCAAAGAGCCTTGGGCTAGTTCTATGAACAATCACAATGGCATGTCAATGTATTAACCAATTCTAGATATTATCACATGCAATTTCAATATTAGCAGCATTAAATTATAATGTCAAAGCGCACACTGGCATTGTAAAACCATCACATACTCATTACTTATCATCACTTACCTGGATTGAGGAGGCTTTGTTGGCATCCAAAACAATTTCTTTGCAGTTTGTGGTTTGGATCATTTAAATTAGATGGAGGCACCTCATCAAATGGTGCTATAGGGAAGAGATGATGATATGATCTAGCCAAATGGGGTGAAGACACGAGTGTCAACCCGCAGATACGACATTCTGTAGGCAGCTCACAAACACGTGCTTTGCATCTTGGACAAGCGTACCCTGCACCAACCTTAGCTTCCTTATGACACGAACAAATGGATATAGAACCCTCAGCTGCTCTTTGAGGGAATCCCATCTTGATCAAATTAGCGGTTGCAAATTCTGCTATGGCTGGTGGTGGGGGTGCATGCTCTAATATTAGCTCTTTAAAGTGGGACTGCACAAGAAAAACACAAAGAAATATATTTACTTTTCATTTTCATTTTCCCCCTTTCATCCATAGACAAAACCTTTATTACAAGATGAACTGAAAACACATGAAAGAAACCAGCAACACCTCTTCCCACTATCATAAGGTAAATAAATAACAACCAAAAAGCAAAGGAAAGAGAAAATTTGAGAACAACTCGCAATATAGAACATTTAGAAGATATAGAGAGTTAGAGACCCATAACTTGTCCATGCAATTTCACTTGGCTTCTCTACGACAAGTGCCTTTTGGATCCTTGTGAAAACAGAATTTCATTTTCCTTTAAAGCAACTAATTAAGTAACTCAGATAAGAATTTCAGGTTGATGTTATTACATCAGTTTCAGTTGGATATGGACAATCAATGCCTCTTGTTGCACTCACCTCATCTAATGCAACAGAGTATGTTCCTCCAGTTTCCTGGCAGAGATGTTTGCATATAAACATTTCTGCAGCAAGTCCAATAACTGAACACCTTATTTTAGATTTCTTGCATTTCTGGATGGTCTCCATTATATCTCCAGGATCACAAGTACTGAGAGCAGAATACAATATAAGAACTTCACGATGACCATATGATGGAATTTGATTCAGATACCCATCTACGAGATCCAATGCATTCTGTAAGGAGGAATCACCTGAACATTCCAACTTATTCATCAAAGCTTTGATATGAGACTCAGGACTACCCCCGAGATCTGTTAAGCACTGAGCAACCCCATCTTTGATAGTCAAAAGGCCAACTTGACTAAGAGGATTCTGGTCAAAAAACTCCCTGATGAAGGCCTCAACATGTTTTGCAATAACAACAATACGACTTGGTCGAAAATCTGTCTCTGAAGCTGCCTAAATACAGCAAAACAAATGAAAATGAGTTGATAGTTCATGTAAAGAACTAAGGAATTTTGATTACTTTTAACCTCATGATGATTGAAGAAAAATAACCAATTTTCAGGCAATAACATGATAATACCTTCTGTCTAACCAACTCCTCCTCCCCAAGTATCCAAAAAAATAAAAGAACCAATTGGGTGGTATCATAAGTTCATATCAAGGGTTCCAGTTCTCTGAAGAACTTCCAACATATTTCGCTGGGGATATATTGTATCATTTGTATTCTGTTACTGGCCTCAAATAACAATCAACCCAAGAAATAGATCAAATTCTACCAAATCAAACAGTTACAACAGAGATACGAAAGTAGGCAATAGACTGGTTTTTCAGTGAAGAACTTTGAAACCAATGTATTGCTTTCAGGATATCAAACTGGCAAATCGCTTTACACGTGCAAGAGGTAAATCCGTAAGAAACTTCAATGACAAATTCCAAAAAAATTCTTAGCTTTTTCTCTCCCCTATGTGAACATAGAGCAGTGGTCAAAGTAATGGAAGTTTCAGCCTCTGCTAAACACAAGCTTGTGATTCAGATACTGAGTAATAATCTCGTAGACCTGAGTGCCATAACATCACTTAAAACCACAAATTATTACTCATAATAAATGATTACCAAACTTGACCGCAATAATTAACCACATTAAAGCTACAAAAGATTGCTTATCAAACTTGACTGTTCTGCTCCAAATTACCTTCTCTAGGAGCAAATCCCATTCTCTTCATCCTAATAAGAACATATTTACAGAAGATAGCAAATTTATAAAACTACAGTGGTAATTGGAGTGAAAAATGATACCCGGGAAAGATCAATAACAATGTAGAGATATCGAATGAGGCCCTTTTGGATCCGAGCAGCAGTGGCAGTGGAAGAAAGGGACCGAAGCCGGCGACGATACTGAGAATGATAAAGGGCCTTGTTGTCAATAGGTCGAAGCAGCCCTGACTCGTCCTCTTGCAAAGATTCCCACGACCTCTCATCGGTGTAAGTTCTCTCCCACGCATCAAGGTCCCCATTCACGTAGTCTTCATCATCGTCCTCTTCGCCTGCGCCATTCATCCGTTTTGCGCCCCCATTATTCATTCTTCTTCAAACCAGCAATTGATTAGTTTCTAGCTATCTGCAGTGTCTCCTAAATTTAGCAAAAATTCATAAGATAAAAGGGGAAAATCAAATAAATAAATAAATTCAACAAACTATAACTTTAACACCCCTTTTTTTTGACATTATGTTCTACATAAAAATAAATAAAAATCATGCCTTTTGGTAAAAAAAATAATAACATTTTAATATTTAATTCTTCAAAAATATCATTCGCATTTTCTTCGTATATATCCAAAAGCACTGCCTTTATTTTTCAATTTTTGCTTGCAAAAGCAACAAAAAGGAAATTACAGTTTTATCATTTATGAGAATGCAATGCAACTGTTTGAGGAAATGAGTGCGAAATTTAGAAGATGAAAAAAAAGGGTATTCAGCTTTTTAATGAAGAAAAGCATTTGATAAAATTACATAAAGATCAAATTAAAGGGAGAAAATACGTAATATTCTTATAAGAACAAATTAAGTAGAAATCAAAGCAGCTAAGAGAATAGGTTAAACAAAAGATTAGTCTTTTTCTTTCTTAATTAGAGAGAGAGAGAGAGAGGGTAAAGACTCAATCTTGTTTTTGGATAAATGGACTCAAGAAATTCAATCACCTGGGATTTGCAGAAAACTTGAAATGGAGGACCTCAAATGAATCAACAGTATAGTGTCATTACATGCGTTTAACTACTTATAATAATTTAGGTTTTTATTCACCTTTAATAAAAGGAGTAAAGAAAAAAATAAAAACAAAATACTTTTTGCGCCCACCGTGGGGCTCGAACCCACGACCACAAGGTTAAGAGCCTTGCGCTCTACCGACTGAGCTAGACGGGCTTGTTGAAAAGTGGAATCTGTTTCCATATTTAGAGAGGTTGACTCAAACTAAGCACCCATTGCGGCCCCTTCGTTTCAGAACGTACAAGTCTCACTTCTCACCGTCTTAAACATAGGTTTGTTGAGCAAGAAAATAGATACTAAATACTCAAATGCTACTAATTTTTTACTTTGGTATTACTAAACTTGTTTATTTTCATTGGATCCTTTATTCTCCTTTTACTGTTCTTCTTATCCAAAGGTTATGCAAGCCTCTGTACCCTCCATCTTTGCTCGAGTACTATTAATTATTGGTACAAGAACTGCTTACCAAAGAAGGAAAATTTCCTCATAATTATTACTAAAAGTTTTTACCTACACCTTGACATCAATAAAACCAGACTAATTTAGGCCTAATTGATTGTGCACAATCTTTCCAGGGGTATAAACAACAGGCTTCTCTTTTAGCAGGGAATTAAACTCTTGCTTAAGCTTTGACTCTCACAAAGGTTAGAAGCAATACTGCTTAAGTACAAGAAGATGTCTATAGGCCTTAGGTACCGTGGGGAAGTTTGAAGCAAAAATATTATGCCAAAAGGTACAATGCTTACAAAATTTCACAAAGATTTTGGTCCAAAATATCTTCGCTGCCAAAACTGCCAACTTAGTCAATCATCAGAATGCTCTGGGATGATCTTGTAGTACACAGGATCAAGCAAAATATTGAAAACAGCTCCCGCTTGATTCCAAGTTTCCAACAAGCTTCAACCCACATGAGAAGTTCTACTTCTACACTGATTGAAACATACACTGCAATTAGCGAACCTTAGCTGACTACCGTAATAGACAGGCCATGACAAGCAAAACTGCAGCATGCTGCATGCCTAACAAGAACTCAGTCTTCATTTTCTGGATCAAGAACTGGGAGAATATTCAAGGCTGAAGAACCAATGTGCATGCCCCGAACTATTCCTCCATATCCAACCTTTATTCTGTGGCACAAAAGCAAGATGGAATCCCACAGTGCCGTTCTCCCCTGAAAATATAAAATGAAATTGTCATCATCCAACCCATACGATTTATATCTTTTCTATGAACCATAGATGTCAAATGTCTGCGTGCATGCGTGTGGAGGAATGCTTTTGACTGAACTGGGGCCAGCTTTGCTGTGCTAAGGATATTCTTCAGCTTTTCACGTTGATGTGCTACCACAGGAAACCACAATATAATGAATATAAAAGACAATGACTACGTTTGTTGACATCAATTGAACTGCATTAGTTTCTTTTACTATTTGTTCCGCTAGGTAAACAAAAGCACCATCCAACAGTGTTATTGTTTGTTTAATTAAGAAAAAAGTTGCCAATACACTACTTAATCTTCCATAAGACCAAAGAAATCATTGACTTGGAATAAAGTCAAGTTGGCTTAAAAAGTGACTGTTGCAGACTTGCAGACACTGTTGACTAAGCCTCACAAAAGAAAATGAAAAGATTATATCACAATTGATTGATAGGAATACAAGTTATCTATTATAATTAATTATGATATTTTATAGTGGCAAATTTCAAGCACTAGAGTTATTCATTTACCATTAAGATAGTCTTTATCTCAACCATATGATAAGGCATTCATGCACTTGAGCCTTTTTTAAGAGCAAAACATCCAGCTTTATTTTACAATCTTTTTATATCTATGTCTAAGTCATCTTCAGAATTGCTTCACAAATGCTGACATCAATTTTTTTATTCACTTTAAATCATCGTTAATAGTTATTAATATTTCACTCTTTCATGTTTTCATTAAATCATGTTCTTTACTCCCTTGTCTTGCCACCTATAACAAAGAACTTAAAATTCTCTTTTACCTGAAGAGAGAACTGTAATCTCTTGTCCCAGTATAAGGCAAAAATGGGGAGACTTTCTTTTCCAACTGCCAGGATGCAAGCTCCTGGATGAAGAGTCAAAGGAACACCAGATATAATGGCGATGTACTTTTCTGGAAACCTGTCCTTCGGTGGCAGGACCCCCAAGAATAATGGATTCTTGCTAGATTGGGCTCCAGCATAAGAATTAGGATCAACATGTAACATCCATTTTGGGTGCTCTAGGAAAGCACAAAACAAGTACAAGAGCAAGTGAGAATCTGTTGGAAGTTCACGGGTCCACTTCTTGTTCTTTTTGTCATAAACCTCCCCACTTCCAAGATATTCATAATTCTTCAAGCAGGTTCCTTCAGCAAGCTCTGTGGAATTCCACAAAAAGGTAACTCCATAAATTATGTACGCTAAAAGATCTCAATATGGTTTATAAGCAACACAGACACTAAGCATATGAGGACTATTTTGAGTTTTTAAATACCTCGAATCCTTTGTACTGTATAATCTGCCCTCACACTGCTTTGTGGTAGCAAACCTTTCATCCACTCCCCTTTCATCAGTGCATGAAGCCTCTGGTGTTCAGTAATGGCATCGACACACTCCTGCATAACAGGGATCAAAGGATTTTGTTGTGGAGATTGTTGTTGGTTGGCTAAAGGCATTGCTGCATCTGATGAAAAAGTAACATTATAAATCCTCAGCTAAGACCAATAAACAAAACCAACCTAGCAAATACAAGAACAAATTAATAGAAGCAATAAAAGCAACTAACACATAGAAGCCTCAAGAGCCTGGACAAGAGTTGCACGTAATTGATGAAGTAGCCCTTCTTCCTCAAGAGTGAATGTCGGTTGCCATTCCTTCATCCTATCAGGTGGAGACAAAGTAGCAGGACTTCCATTGGTTGGTTGATCACTTCCTACTTGACTAATTGTAACTGAGATATTGAGTTTAGCAGCTGCTTGCATTACCTATAGGCAGAGCAGTTGAGAATAATCAGGTTGCAATGTCTAAAAACACAGAAGAAACGTAGATAACAATAATAATCAGGTTGCAATGTCCAAAACACACAAAAACATAGATAAAGAGCAATAATATCAACAGATTTGAGCCTGTGCTGCAAACAAATATGGGAAAAGGGCTATAAGAAACATGTCGATATTTATAGAAACTTTCTCATTTCTCAAATTCTAAACTGAGTCCAGATTATGCTAACTTTCTAATTTTGATGACCAAGAACAACATAGCAAAGTTTAAAATTTTGCAAATCATTGTGCAAGATTAAAGCTGAATATAATTTGGACTCATTCATAATAGCCATATTCTGGCCTAAAAGGCTTGTCCTTTTCATCCCTGATAAAACACATATCCTTCATGAAAAATTGAAAATCTCAACCTTGAATATTTCCTTGTTTAGGATGAGATTACAGTGAATATTCAGTATATTTCCATAAAGACAGTGTAACCAAAATAGTGGCAAAGTTGAGAGAATGAAAATGATGAAAGACCTGAATATGACTGGTTTCAATCTTGTTAAGTAGAGGATTTAGCAGAACTGAAGCAAACCACTGTCTGAGGCGATCACACCACTGCTCAATTTGGGGATAGATGCCCAAATGCTCAAAAGCTTCAATAGACTCTTCCATGGACATTGGAGGAGGAAGGTCGGCCTCTCCTTTCTTTGGAGGAGTGGTAAATTTCTGGGAACTGGGAGACATCCTAACAGGCCTCAGTGGTGTACTCCTTGTCGTTCCAGATGTATTAACTGAACTTGCTACAGTATTAGGACTTGCTATTCCGAAGCCACTGATGGTTGCGGGTGGGGTGGCTAGTTTTCCAGCAGATTCAGTGATTTTCTCATCTATTTCTGCAAGAAACAGTTCAAGTTGCTCTTCTGTTGTTATTTCCTTGGTAGAGGAGGCTCGTTTAATGGACCAAGGGGTTTTGGCCACAGGCTCCTGTCCTGGTGAAGTTTGAAGAGAAGATAATGCAGAAGTGGATGCTGGAACAAGATATAACGAAGAAGGAGAACCCTGGGATCTGGATGGGGTAGCAAAAGAATTCATCTTATTCCCACCACTGGTGTTTGATTTATTAGAGCTGATGCGAGACTTACGATCCGATCCATTAATTGGCAGATGAAGTGGGACAAGAACATCTGAAGGAGATGATGTCACTAGGGGTTTGGACTTCGGAGGTTTCTTTGAAGACTCTGGCACAACTTGCTCAACCTTGGGTTTTATTCCTAAAAGCCCTAGCTGCCGCTTCGTCAGACAAGGTTGATCCTTAGTACCTTTAGGAGGAGATACAGTTGGCACACAACCAATGCTCCTGGCTCTATGCAGAGAGATGGCTTTGAATAGTGCAAAAATGGTGCCAATGAAAACAACACCCAATGCAGTCTGTATTGCTTTGGCAAATATACCTGAAGCACAGATAATACTCAAATGTGACAACAGGAAAGAGAACACTCAATTCAAGAATCAAGGGAATTCCATCTGCACATGATAACTTACAAGCAACTTCATGAGATAAATCTCCGAACTTCAGTTTATCAGCCAACACATTGCCCCTTCATCAATGTGAGAGAAAGGATTGTGTTAGTGAAATTCAAACACATTCAAACCAAAACAAAACTATGGACAAAAAGAAAGACGTTAATCTATAGATTTCAAAAACCTCAAAAGGTTCATTTTTATACTTATACCAATTAACCAACTCAATCATATTTCTGCTTCTTTCTTATTTACATGATACATAACTCCAGTGACAGTCAGAGGTACCAACAGACTTTCTTTCCATTAATCATTCTCATGCAGTCTGAATTGTTTTTTCAATAATTAAGGAGGGCAAAGGAAGATTCGAAGCTGGGAATCTCTTTCTTCGGAAGAAAGCTGCGGCTACCAATGAGCCTATGCCTTTGTAATCTGTACAACAGCATGACCACCGTTTAACCTAAATTCGCCCCTTGGACAAAACAATTAAAGCCGAAAAGCCTCCTATAATCAAAGTCACTCTTTGACAGAAAAGAAAAACCCCCGGGAAGCATCAATGAAGTTTCTACAAAACAAAAGTTACCGTTCATGCATTTTCTCAGAAACAAAATCAAGCAAAACGTTACCTAACAAAACCCAAGGATCAAAAACACTAAAAGACAAATAAAAACATACCCTTTTGCTTAAACCCTCCCAAAACCCTAAAATAACTATCCATATGTAAGCAAAATGTATACGTTCGGCTTAAAGGCTCAAAACGTCTGAGTTCCTAATATGACAAAAAAATACCCCAAAAAAAAGTTAAATGAACCTGGAAGTGATGGAGAGAAGAGCAAAAGCCGAAGCAGATAAGAGAGAAAAGATGCAAAGAATAGTTGATTTGGAGGGCTGTAGACTTGTAGCCGTTAGAGCAGCGGACAGGGTTGGGTTCTGGTAGACAGAGAACTTTGAGGGCTTCGATGGAGGCGAGGCCCTGTCTTGGCCGGCGGCTGCTGCCATGGTTTAACCGGTTACTTGGAAGATGGGGATTTGATAGAGATTTGTTAGTGCTTATGGCATTGTTTGTGGGTTAATTACGAGGAGTTGTCGTTGCCATTGCAGTCCTCGCCAGTTTTGAGTTTCAAAACTTGAAATATCTGGCACTCCCTCCCCGACTTTGGTAGCTGTTGGTAGCAAACCGTGAGATTTGCTTAGAAACAAAGCCAAAAGAAAATTTAAAATTTTAAAAAATAAAAAATAAAACGTAGTATTACTATTCCAAAATTATAGGCATAATTTTTAATTATTCGAATAAGTTGTTGAGTTCAATCGAGTTGTTATATAATTATTTTAAGTTAAATAAAATTTTATTATTCATAGTTGATTAAGTACTATTAATCAAAATGCCATTCAATAATTTTATCTTAATATAATAATTATATCAATTTTATTTTATTTTGGTAATGACAAACATCAAGGTGGAAGGTAAAAATTTTATAAGATTATTATTATCAAGTCTTATTACATGTCACATTATCATTTATTATAATGTGTCAACATACCATCTGATATCACTAGACATAAATTGGCATGTGACATTTTAATTGAAAAAGTTTAGTCAATAATCTATTTAATTTAAAATAAAAGCATATGAATTTAATTAAATATAATAAAAAAATAAAATGCTGAAATAGTATGAAACTCAAACATAACAATTATCATGCACAGCAGAAAATAAAAAATTTAAACATGTCATATTATATCATCACCTATGGATCGTTTTGGTAGTTTTAATATAAACAAAATTTAAGAAGAGTAATAAAAAATATCACCTAACCAAGTAATGTCGTAATCATGATGGCAAATTCGTTTGATTGAGAAAAAAATATGACATTGCTCTTGTTTCTATTCAAACTCGTGTACACAACAAAAGGAGGAAGAACCCAAGCTATCCAAGTGTTTCGCATTTAATGGTATCCACACAATTGCACTTGAACCTTCAGCAAAGTAAGAGCTTTTAATTATTTTCTGTGCTAGTAGAGTAGACAGCAATGGTCCTTTTCTTCACAAATACTACAAGTCAGACCACTCTAGAAAAATTCATCACAAGAATTTTCTTTCAAACACAAAAGGCAGTTGGAGAATTTTGGTTTTGACAATTAGAGTTTCATAGTCATATGTAAGAAGTAGTTAAAGGTGATATTTATACCTAAGTTAAAACAACTTTTATAATTGCAACTAAGGACCCAATATTATAACCCATTACAATCTTAACGCAACACTTAATTAAATCCTTTTAATTTAACCTTTGAAAATTAAAATGAAATTAATTTCTTTTTATCATGTTTGCAATTAAGGGTATAATATTATAACTATTTATAATATTGACCTTACACTTACTTAAACTATTTTAATTAAGTCTTTAGAAGTTCAAACGTAAAGTATGATTTAAGTCCAACTTAAATCATCACACTCTCAATTTAATTCATAGCACAACTTTTGTGTGTAAACCATTAGGTTCCTAACAAGTTGATAATGGAATTAAATTGTAATATTAATCAATTAATTCAATTTCATAGATCAAGATTGACATCTAACAATGCATTGTGGCCATTCAATTGTTAAGAGAGTCAAGGGATTCTTTGTCAACCTTTTAGTATACAGTTTATCAATGTAATTTATTCTCTCATCATATATTCCGAAGATGATAAGAGTATGATGCAATGTCTACTTTTATTGACTTCCATATTCATTCATGTAGTTAGATCATTAGCTTTATAGAGACTTATGAAACTCTTTTCATAATCTCCAAGTAGCTTTGGCCAAGGACTTTAATAAGCTAATGTGAACTAATAATTGATAGGATATGTCCCCTTGAATCACTTGAGGTAATGATTCCTATCTTGATTACTCATTTACCTTCACATGCTTCATGCTATACCCAAAAGTATCTTGTTTTATCATCCTTGGTTAGGCACCCGTAGAAAAAAAATTAAAACAACCTAGTGTCTCAAGTTTAGGAAGTATTTACAAAACTGACAAATGAGAAGTATTGTATAAGTATTTAAGAGAAATACCAACTGTACTTCTCATGGCAGATTATGTTCAGTGAACTTGCTCTCCTAGGTGAGCACCTACATTCTAGTTCCAACTATCTCTATAATTTAACCTTTGATATTGATTGCTTACTTCACAAGTAACAAAAATAGAATGTTCTAGTCTCTATGTATCATTGATGTCTATTCTTAATGATATATCAACTAGGAACATTTAGAGATTATGGTTTGATCCACAAGAATCTCATAATTGCAACCCATTACAATTCCCTCACAAAGCATATTAATCTCATGGACTTCATCCAATTAAACTTATAACCCATTATAGTTAACATCTTATTGATGAATGAAAACCTCTAATCATTCAACATGAATAATATTGTTGCATGATTGGAATCAAGCCTTAATCAATCCTAATTGACTATAAGGCTTATCCCAACATCTTCTATTAGCACAAAGCCAATTGCTACCTCATTGTATATGGATCTAACCCATCTAGCAATCATGTCTCCATGTAGACTTACTTGCACTCTTCAATGTGGTTAATTTCTTTTATCTATTTTCATGATGTCTATGAATCACATCATGTCATATTACTATATTCAAATCCAATGAGACCCGAGTTTTCTTAATATGGCTTCATTGTTGCATTAATAATGTTTAGTACCTTATATTAGTTTTGTGAACTAATGATCTAAATATCCTCTTATTTGAGCTTTTAGCAGGTTGTATATGGCTTTGATTATATATATGTACATAGTCCTTTTTCTTTCTTTAGAACCATTTCAACTAAACTATGTTGTATGCATTATATGCATTTGTCACTTTTCAATTGTGCCAGCTACCTTTTTTAAATTTTAGGACTTTCTTTGTATACACATTATATCCTATGTAATTGTATCACCAAAGAATTGTACTCACTCCTACTAACTTCCTTATGTTTATGAGATAAGTACACTTGTACATTGTATTAAATCCAGCACTTTGAATCCCTTTTGATAGAACAAAATCCATGGAGTTCTCATACAATTACATAGGAATAATAGATAGATTCATCTCATATGAATAATACACATTTAATATATAATGTGTAACATTATATCATCCCTTTTGATATAACTCTAACAAAAAACATATTTAATAGATTCATCTCATATGAATAATACACATTTAATATATCTTACTAAATCCATGGAGTTCTCATACATATGATTATGCATCTTTATGCAAAATCTTAAAAATTAGATTCCAATGTAACCATGTAATACTAAAAAAAAACTCTTTTCTTAGTGTTATCATGCTTCCATTATATCGAAGATCCTTTGTGAGAGTAATATTCGCACTCTTTTGAATATTCTATGATGTTACATACATGCATCTCAATGTATGCTTGGAATCGTATTGGTTTGGAATAATATAATTTGCTACATATGTATTAGAAAGATATGGACCAAATCATATCACTATATGAATTTGCTTTCTTCTTTGAACAAATATCTCTATGTTTTATTCATAAGAAAGTTCCATTTCATATGAATCTATATTGATCTTTTGAATGATTAATTAGTAAGTAGGAGCAATCTTCACTAAGATCATATCTTAATAGGAGTACTTCATATTATATAGCTCATATGATCTTATATTTGATTTCTCTGAACATTTTGATAATTCAAATTATATTTCTTTAAGTATACAAGACAAAATCTCAATTTGATCTTATGTAAACTTAATGAATTAGGAACATTTGCTTTAGTATTTTAGGTTAAATGGTTTGTACATGTCTATATGTATAAGACCTTGTGAACATATCAAATCATTCACTTTTGCATGAAAAGTGATTTAGTCATGTAGATAAGAAATACTAGCACTGTTATGATTCTTAATTAAAAGGATCTAAGTGTCTTCATACTCTAATTTTTACTTCAATGACTGAAAGTCAAATGCCATAGTTGACATTATATGCAATCAATTTTCTTGGCATTTATATTGATCATTGACTTACTACTATTGTTTTGTAACTTATGTTATTACTTAAATGCATTCAACATCTAGTATCGAATGCTTATGATTTTAGTACAATAGTATTGACTTCTAACTTAATCATAAACTTTGACAAAGTAGAAACTTTTATAAGCTTCTTTTTCTTTAACTCTGTCAAGGAAACATTTTTAGTCCCACTTTTGTCCATCTTTACCATAAAGATGTTTGAGAACATTTTCAAGTTAGTGCCCTTATTGTGCTTGTCTTCCCAATTCATAATTAAGGTAATTTCAATTTCATCTCATGGAAGCTCACTCTTAATTATGAATTGTGTTTGGTAGAGATTATAGAATGAAGGTGATACTTAGTTTATGATAAACACATTGCTCTAGCTTTACCATAAAGCCTAGCAACCTTAAATTTTTACGTCTAATAGAACTATCTTCTGTCTTCTTGCATAGAAACAATTTCTATGTTATCTTATACCTTTATGTATAACCTTGATTATAGAATAATTCTTTTGATTACAAAGTCACACATGTTGCATAGATGTTTTCATGTTGCTTTTGAAGCTTTGTAGTCATAGTAGCCAACATCACACATGTGGCTTAATGAGTCTAATGAACATCCCATGCTCTATCACCTTTTGCCTCAACATGGGCTAATGCCAAAGCTCCCTATAAATAGACAATCATTTGCTTGAGTACATTTCTTAAGTCTTGGTACCTTCCAAAAGGGTTTAGTGTAGTGAGTTTGATTTGCATCTAAGATGCACTATAGTGATAGATTTTTAGCCATTTGCAATGTATATAAATATGTTTGAATAGATAAAGTAATCGATAAATAACATGCATAAACTCTTCAAAACAAAGTTTTAAAATTTTAAATAATTCTTCCACTATTTTTTACAAGATGATAACCTTCTATATCACCTTGAAAGATCTCTACTGGGATTTATTTAATGGGCTAGGATATCATCCATCTAGTTATGACCTTGAATGCACTCAACAACCCATGATAGTGGATTAGGTAGTTAATTGAGCTTATCAATTGTATTTCTATATAAATCCAAGATTAGTTAGGTAACAATACATTACCTAAATATATCATATATGTTTTGTCTAGCCTTTACCTCTAGTTTCTATAATAATCAAGTTTTCAAGTATTTGGATTTTATGAAACTAGTTGAGTAAAACCCACCAATAGCTCAAACATACTCGTGTAAAAGTGTGACATTGAGTGTATTCAACAAGTCTTTGATTAAAAGTGTAGTCATGTTATCTTACTATAGTTGAAGGCAACTTAATCATATGTGGCATGTGACTTAATATTTATTGAAGGATTTCGTTATTTGTTTTTATTAAGGTTTCATCTAGGCATGCACAGTATTTATTAATTGCATTAAATAAATTTATCACATACAAACTACTTTGGATGATTATGGATTTTAACTATACTAATTTCTTGAGCCATCAAAGGAAACTACCTTGGTCAAACCTAAGGAATTACATATAAGAATCTTCAAAATTTGCTTGTAATCTCCTTGTCCTCTTTGGTGCGTCGGATCTCCTTCGTCAATTTTTTCAAAATTTAATTCCTCATCTATCTAAATTTTAATTACATGTAAATGTAGAAGCCTCGAGTTACAGTCGAGAGGAGTAAAATGAGGAAACAACTTTACAAACTGAGATAACGAGATAAGACAAGACACGCAAACCCTATTAAAAAAATATCAAGAATATGCATTCAACCATAACACAATCATATTTGGCCTAAGTCCATAATCATCCACATACATCCATCAATATCTATGCATATATATATATATATATATAAATTATTTGAGATATTTGGGACTAGTAATTTTTCAACATTTGACTTTACCAATTTCAAATTTTCAAGCAACCATTTAATTTTATATATGGAAACTTCTTTCATAGATGGTAATTAGTACTAATTAAAATTAGTAATTTATAGATTTCTAATGTTATTAGGATTAGAATTAAATTTTATTACAAATTAAAACATTTTTAATTTGTTGTCCTATACACTTTAGGTAACTCTTTTACTAATCCAATTTAATTAAACATTTCATGTCTTCTATTACCTAATCTTTTATGGAGCATTTGTTAAAATTATCTTTTATGGAACTATTCCAAAGTACATTACTTCTATGATTTTTTCAGATTTTTCAAGGCTATTAGATGCCTTTTTAATACTAAAAATCGAACCACAACAACTATTGGACAGAATCAAATTTTGCCTTTTAAACTACACCAAAACATCATGAACTTGATTTTTATTTTGCGAATTTAATTTGTGCATCTTATGCACTTCTTAATCTAACCGAATCAAGACACTAAAACTTCAATTAGTATGTCCAAAATTAAGATTTAAAATTCACTAATTAAATCTATGTAGAAAATTGAAACAACTCCAAATCGATTTTAAAAATTTTAAATCCTTACCAACATAAACCCAAACACCTCATATCAAATATAAATATTGAATCAACAACAATGAGACATTGTTTGTATTAAAACGAGCCAAGGGAGGCTTTGATACTATTGCTGGAATGGCATGAAACTCAAAGATAACAATTATCATATGTAGTAAAAGATAAAAAAATTTAAACGTACCATACTATGTTGTCACCAATGGATCACCTTGGTGGTTTTAATACAAACAAAATTTAAGAAGAGTAATAAAAATATCATCTAGCCAAGTGATGTTGTAATCACAATGGCAAATACTCTCAATTGAGAGAAGATACGACACTACTTTTGTTTCTACTTAAACTCGTGTACTTCACAAAGAGAGGAAGAACCCAAGCCACCCAAGCTTTAGCCTCCAATGATATCCACACAATTGCACTTAAACCTTCAGTACGGTAAGAGCTTTTAACAATGTGCAACAATTGTCTTTTTCTTCATACACACTATAAGCCATACCACTCTTAAAAAAATTTAGCACAAGAATTTTCTTTGAAACACAAGAGGCAGCTAGAGAATTTTTAGTTTTGACAATTAGGCTTTCATTGTCATATGTGAGAATTAGTTAAAAGTGATATTTGTACTTAGATTAAATGACCCTCATAATTGCAACTAAAGGTCCTATATTATAACCCATTATAAAATTGGCCCAACACTTAATTAAACCATTTTAATTTAGCCCTTGGAAATTAAAATAAAATTAATTTCCTTTTATCATGTTTGCAATTAAGGTTCCAAAATTATAAGTATTTATAATATTGACCTTACACTTAATTAAACTATTTTAATTAAGTCTTTAAAAGTTCAAACCTAGAGTATGATTTAAGTCTAACTTAGATCATCACACTCCTAGTCTAATTCATTGTACAACTTTTATGTGTAATCTATTAAGTTCCTAACAAGTTGGCAATAAAATTAAATTGTAATATTAATTGATTAATTCAATTTTGTAAACCAAGATTGACGTTTAGCAATGCATCATGGCCACTTTATTGTTAAGAGAGTCAAAAGATTCTTTAACAACCTTTTAGTGTACAGTCTATCAGTGTAATTTATTCTTTCATCATATATCCCGGAGATGATAAGAGCACGGTGTAGTGTCTACCTTTATTGACTTCTATCTTCGTTCTTGCAACTAGATCATTAGCTTTATAAAAACTTATGAAACTCTTTTCATAATCTCCAAGTCAGATTGGTCAAGGATTTCAACGAGCTAATGTCAACAAAAAAATTGATAGGATATATCTCCTTAAATCACTTAGGGTAATGATTTCTATCTTAACCACTCATTTGCCTTTACATTCTTTATGTTATACCTAAAAGTATTTTGTTTTAGCATCTTTGGTTAGGTATCCATAAAGATAAAATCAAAATATGGCACTCTACATTTAAAATAACCTAGTGTTTCAAGTCCAAGGAGTATTTACACAATTAACACATGTGAAGTATTACATAGACACATAAGTGAAACACTAAATGCACTTTTCATGGTGGGCATGTTCAATGACTTTGCTCTTCTAAGCAAGCACTTACATTGTAGTTTCAAATATCTTTATACTTCAACTTATAAAATCAGTTGTTTACTTCACAAGTAAGAAACAAATAAAGTATCAGTTTCTAAGTATCATTGATGTCCAATTTCAATAATATATTAACCAAGAATATTTAGAGATTATGCTTTGATGCATAGAGATCTCATAACTACAATCCATCACAGTTCTTTTGCAAGACATATTAATTTCATTGATTTCATCCAATTAGACTTATAATCTATCATAATTAGCATCTCATTGATGAAGGAAGCCTTTAATCTTTCAACATGAATAATATTGTTGCATGATTAGAATCAAGCTTTAACCAATCCCAATTGATTGCAAAACTCATGCCAACAAAAAAATTTATTTAAATTTTTTTAAAATATTATGTCAAAATTAAACGTAAAAGAAATAGTTTTGAGGATAGTACTTTTGATTACAATTCTCTCTAAGAAAAAACAAAAAGAAAATTAAACAATTGAGAAAAACAAAATAATAACAAGAGTAATTCTAATTTGTTTAAACAATTACCTAATAAATAAAGTAATGTGACTTTTTGCTATAGTTGGACAATTAGACAAGTTATTCTTTTAAATTTTATGTTTATATTTGTGTATATTGTGCTATAACAATTTTATTTTTTAATAAGACTATTAAGAATGAGGATAATTACATTTCATAAATTGAAAAAATAAGATAATTTGAAAACTCTTGAAATAACTTAATTTAAGCATAAGGGTTTAACGGGAAATGTATAATGGATTAAATTAGCAAGCTTTAATGGAACTATTATGAGTGACGGTAAGGTAAAATAGTCATTTGGGGCTATAGTGGTAATTCTAAATGTTAAAATTATAAAAAGGGCTAATGCCTAATGCCCATTCACTTCTCCTAGCATTTGTCACTCATGCATTGATGATTTAAGTTAGGTGTTGTGTTAAAATAAAGAGTAAAATATATTCACTTTCTTAAATTTTAATTGAAATTTTAAATTTGATTTTAATTTTTTAAATAAGAATATATATATTATTGAATCAAGTATTTAAATGTTGAATTTTATGATCTAGTATTAAAATTGAAACAATCTATTAAAACTTAGAACAATTTTTAGAATCTCAAACTAGGTTTACACCACTAATCTAATGCCAATTATGAATTATTTATTTATTTATAAATTAACAATGAACTCTCCATTCTATATATTGTTCTTAATTACCAATAAAACACACCTCTTTAAACAAAATGTAAGTGGCAAGGATTAAGATATATCCACGGACGGAGTAAAGTTAAATATAGATGGTGTTAAAGGTAAGTAAAATTGAATCGGATCAATGATTTAATTGAATTGAATGTCATTTGAGTAAAATGATTCGATCCAATTAATCCATTGAGTTTATTAGTTCAAAAAGTTTGATTTAATTGGATTATTTAATTAGTTTTTAATTATAAATTTTTTAAGTCAAACTGATCAAAAGATTAAACTAATTCTCATATAATATTTTTTATATATTATTTTTAAAATTATATAAAATATATATTTTCATTATTAATTTTTATTTTATATTTTATAATTATAAATAAAATTTATAAATTTTGATATTATAATTTACAAAAAAAATAAAATTTTAATATTTTTATTTAAAATCAAATCGATCTAAGTAATTTGATATTTATCGAGTAAATCTTCTTTTATATTTTATGTTTGATAATTTTAATTAATTTTTTGAAAATATTTAATTTACTTAATTTTTAAATATGACAACTGAAACTGACAAAATTACCCAATTGCGAACCCGCAGATAGCGTAACGTAGAGGGACACGTCTCATGAAACGGATCCAAAGGACAAGGAAATGAGTTCTCTGTCCTTATCCAGACCAACGTGGAATTCCAAACTCTTGCAAACTGAAACTTCAAAGTGAAAGAATGAATAATAAAAAATAATATAAAAAGCATAAGCCTCGACAACTCAACTATCGGACTGCTTAGTCAGGTACCCATTAACTCAGCGCAAACTGAGCCAGCTCAGGAACAAAACGACCGGGCCAGTGTCTCCCACCAATAGAAAATCACCACGCGTCAGTCGGCAAAACGGGTACCAGAATTTCTCTAATATTTGACTTGAGTGTAGTAATCCTATAACTAGGAAACGAGCCATATTTCCGGTCTTCTTCATCTTCTTCTCACTTCTCAGTATTTAAATTATAGTAGAACAGAGAGGATCAGGCAAAGAAAAATAGACAAGTGCAGAAGGATGCAGAGGATATCGGCAGCAAGGTCTTTATGTGGCAAAATTTTGAGAAAAGAAAGACAACGCGCTTTCTTTTCCTCAACCTCCTTGCTCTTCGACGACACTCAGTTACAGGTCTCTCTTCTCTATTTCTCAATTGTTTTTCCAAAAATAAAAAATTGGGATTTTACGTTTGACATATGGTTGGATTTCATGTCCAGTTTTTGATCTTACATTTTCTTTAATTTCCATTTTGTGGGGTAATGGTGGCAGTTTAAGGAAAGTGTTAGGCAATTTGCACAAGAAAATATTGCTCCTCATGCTTCCAAAATAGACCAATCTAATTCCTTCCCCAAGGTTCGAATTCAACTTACCTTTCTTCGTTTTTGGTGTCCTTTCCTTTTTGCTTTGGATTTGTTTTTTTTTTTTTTCGTTTGATTTCTTTGAATATAGTTGCTTCTCCATTCTCCAGGAGGTTAATTTATGGAAACTCATGGGAGATTTTAATCTCCATGGAATAACTGCCCCAGGTAAAAACTTATCACTTTTTCCGATCAAAGGATGACCAAAGAACTGTGAAACGAAATGAATTCCATATTAGTTTTTTGAATTCATTTATTCTAAACTCATTTTGCTTAGGCCTGGAACGTTGGTTTATTTGTTTTCCTGAAAATTGCATTTGTGATTCTCTTGTAGAGGAATATGGGGGACTTGGTCTTGGTTACTTGTATCATTGCATAGCATTGGAAGAAATAAGCCGAGCTTCGGGCTCTGTTGGTCTTTCCTTTGGTGCTCATTCTAATCTATGCATCAATCAGTTGGTAAACCAAATAACTAACTCTATGTTGTTCTAGTTACATCTACTGTCTTCTAAGAGGGTCCTAAGGTGGTTTTTTTTTTTTTTTTTATGGTTTTGTAGGTGAGGAATGGAAGCCCTGCACAGAAAGAGATGTACCTGCCGAAGGTTCTATTTCTAGTGTTTCATTTTCATTAATTTCCAATTCAGTGTTTTATTGCTGACATGTTTTATCCAAAGACTCTAGTTTTTTGTACGTTTGTAGAACAATAGTGTTCATTGATCATCGTGCTATGTTGTACAGTATTTTCTGGCAAATGTATTGCTATAATCAGAATTGCCTGGGATTTTTTATATTGCTTTATGGTCAAACTGGAGTTTCTTATAATTAGGACTTGTTTTCAATGTGTTAGTATTCGTTAACTGTTTGTTTCCTTTCTGCCCCCTCAATAACATTTTTACATTTAATAGAATATTTTGATATTGTGATCCCTTTCTCTCTGGCTTCCCTCCAACACTATGTGTACCAATGTAATCTTCTCTCTTTGGTTTTGATTAGGATGGTATTATAAGTCAGTGCCCTGCCCCTTGTATTATTCTTTATTTTGGATTCTATCTCCTTGATGACATACCCACCATCTCTCTTTTTGTAGCTCATCAGTGGAGAGCATGTAGGCGCTCTTGCAATGAGTGAACCCAATTGTAACTTCCTAGAACCTTTCTTAAGATTATGCCTTACAATTCTAAACATTGCTCAAGCTGCACAGCTCTTGATCATTTTATCTGGCTAATCTGTTTTGCATTCTCTGCAGCTGGCTCTGATGTTGTTAGCATGAAGTGCAAAGCCGATCGAGTTGGTGGGGGCTATGTTCTCAATGGGAACAAGATGTGGTGCACTAATGGTCCAGTTGCTCAAACATTGGTATTTCTATTGAGAATATATTTACATTGTTAGGCATGGCTATGGTTAATTTTTTGTATGCTGGTGTTACTTGATTAATTTTGCTAAATATATTTGCTTCCAGAATGTGTAATTCTCTTTTAACCCTCATTAAGCTAAAGTAAAAGGCTGTATACTGTACTCTATTGATACAACAACAAAGACTGCCAGAATTGACTTTGTACTAGAAACAATTCTGTTGATGAACGCTTTGTCTGTGTCTTTTTGTTTCTACCAAGTTCCAACTCTTACCCACCATTGAGCTAAAGCTAAGAGTTTCTGAATATGCTTACATTTTCTTTGTTTTTTCCCCCCTCCCCCCTTCTGACATGGATAAGTGGTAAACTCCCTTTCTTGCGTGTCTGATTGTAAAAAGCTATGTCTCATGTGGATAGCGTTAGTCTCCGCTTTCAGCATACAACTGTTCTTCTGCATTGATTCTTGTGTTTTTTTTTGAAATGCATCAATTCTCGTGTTATACTGATTCATCAAATCTTTCAGGTTGTTTATGCAAAAACAGATGTCACAGCTGGCTCAAAAGGAATCACAGCATTTATTATTGAGAAGGGAATGCCTGGGTACTTGCATCCGAGCTATCTCATTGTCTTCTATTTTAAAAGATGGGAAAGTTGAACCATTTGTCTATTATAAAACTTGTACATTTGGGGTGATAGCCCATACGTTAAGTAGTCTTGCTTTTGGATGTTGTATATGGAACACTAACAATTGGACTGTAGAGAGTAGGAACCTGAGTATCCTTTACTAAATGGCAGATTGCGTGCCTGGGTTGCTTTTAAATACATCAAGGCAGAAATCAATATACTCTTTATTTGTTCAAATAATTTTGTTTCCCCAAAGAAAATGGAGGTATTATCTCCAACATATATGCATTTTTCCTAAAATATCTTCTTTAAAGATAAAATGAGACTTGCATCTAGGACAGGAATATAATAGCAAAATTAGAAATTAGATTTATTCATTAATCTTTTGATATTTTGATAATATGCAGATTCAGTACTGCTCAGAAATTAGACAAACTTGGGATGCGAGGAAGTGATACGTATGTCTGCTCTGCTGTAAATGAAGTCATATATTTTGAAGTCCATTTCTGCTTCTCCCTTTCATACTAATAATGGTGATGGTCTGAGCAGATGTGAGCTTGTCTTTCAGAATTGCTTTGTTCCAGAAGAAAATGTTCTTGGAAAAGAAGGAAAAGGTTTTGCCTCTAAAAGCTTTTCCCTCCTCTTCAGGTTATAGGAAGGAATATTGAGTGATAGCACAGCTGCCTAATCAGATGATGCCATGGGATTTTGAACATGATCCCTCTGCTCTACTTTTTGAAGAAAATCTGCTTTAGAAGCAAAGAGTATTTAAAAAGAAAAAAACTGCTAGAGGAGGATACTCTTGATTATGCAAGTGCTATGCAAAGTTGTTTGCATTTATGTTTCTTCATTGGTAGTGAGGAATTATAACTTTTGCTTGTATTATATTGTAATTGTTGGTTTTGGCTTGTTGCAGGGGTTTATGTATTAATGTCAGGACTAGATTTGGAGAGACTTGTTTTGGCGGCTGGGCCCCTTGGTATAATGCAGGCATGTCTTGATGTTGTTCTTCCTTACATACGAGAAAGGGCGCAGTTTGGCCGCCCCATTGGGGAATTTCAGTTTATACAGGTTTGTAATTATTGTTAACAGAAGCTATCTTGATAATGTCCTGTGGATGCTTGTCTTGGAATCTTAGATTAATGTTCTTACCCTGCTATTACAGGGTAAAGTTGCTGACATGTATACGTCTCTACAATCATCAAGGTGTAGCACTGTGATGTATAAATTCTAGAGTCTTTCTGAATTTACTTTTCATATGGCAGAAGTTGTTAACTTTCATTTTTCAGGTCCTACGTGTATTCTGTTGCAAGGGACTGCGACAATGGAAGAGTTGACCCTAAGGTTTAATTCCTTTTCTTTTCCCATTCTCCCGATTCCTGATCTGAAAAATTGTATGTACCTATTCTTGTATGAAAGTTGATAAGTTCTTCCAATCTGGTCTTTATGTGCAATATTGCGAGGTCCATTATATAGTGTTATCATCAAATTGTCTTTTAATAATGCAGCCCTTAACAGAGGTTCTTTTTTTTTTTTTAAGGGGGGGGGTTGTGGGGTGTGGTGGGGGTGTTGCTGGTGGTGGGTGATTGCCTACATTTTTCTTGGCTATTCGCAATTACTATGAATTCTTACTACATTCAACTTGCTTAAATTTAATCTCTTTTATTTTCCCCCTCTCCAATAAAAAGGTATTGCAAATGCTATCTGCTCCGCAATCAGATAACATGGAGTTCCCTCTCTCTCTCTCTCTCTCTCTCTTGCTTTTAAATTAAATTTTCATTTGTTCGACAACAGTGAGTATGCTCTATTTGACCCTTGCCAAATGCAGCATTGTGAAAGATTCATGTAATGTGCCAGACTTTCATGTAGCCAGTATTTGTTTTCTGCATTGCTCACACGCACATGAATATATCTCATATAATTAACGGCTGCTGTAATGACAAAACATGGTAGTCACAATTGAAGGCCCTTAATAGATCAGATGAACAACTTAGTATAATGTTCCATATGGTTTGTTCATCTGTTGCATGGGCACCTTTTTGTGCAATATATCTAATTCACACATCTAGCTTAAGGCAGTTGATCAAGTGTGTATAAATGCTACAAAGCTGGTTCATAATGGTTTTAACTTGCTCAAATTCAACAAGGTTTTATGAGTAGATGCCATGGGAAGATTGTGTCTTCTAATTTTCTTTCCTTCACATTTTTTTTATCCGATCACCTTCTTGTTTATGATACTTAAATCAGTATGTGGAAACAGCTTTAATTCACAACACATTTCTTTTTGCTTTTGATGTTCAATTTTTGTTATCTTGAATTCTTTTGATGATAGATCACTTCATGGAATATAAATTAGAGAGGTTTATGTCCTCATATAGCAGCATAGCACACTTAAACTCGTGCATGCCATAACTTTTCTGGATGCAAAATTTCAGGACTGCGCTGGAGTTATACTTTGGGCAGCTGAAAGAGCCACTCAAGTTGCTTTGCAGGTGAAGGATTTATTTATTTTTATTCACATTTTTCTTTTTATGTTGTTTATGCAATAATGCAACTAGTATTAAGACGTGCAGACTAAAAGCTGACCTCATGCTTAAAATGATAATAACATGTTGATCTGCAAAAGGTATATAAGCATGTGAACTTTGACAAGACTGAAGAGTGGTTGCAGTTTGCCTCTTCAGCTCTCCATTCATGTATCATAGAGCACATGAGTATCCAGTCAATTGGTATTTTGCTAATTCAGCCTAGACCTTTTTCACATCTTGCTCTTTCTGAAAGTGTCAAACCGATACATGGAGGTCATTAGCATATTCTGTAGTTTTGTGATCTGATTAATGCTATTAATGTATTATCAAACCATTTGTTTGTGTTCATGTTCGACTTTGCAGGCTATACAATGTCTAGGGGGGAATGGATATGTAAATGAGTACACGACGGGCCGTCTGCTTCGAGATGCCAAGCTATATGAAATTGGGGCAGGAACTAGCGAAATCAGAAGAATGGTCATTGGTCGTGAGCTTTTTAAGCAGCAGTAAACTAAGGAGACTGTGAAAATTGTCATTACAATACTAAAGATTTGCTTGCGTGTAGACACTACAGAAAACAAATCATGAAAATAATATTTTTTCTCATAAAACAGCTAGCTATTGATTCGGATTGCATTTTATGACCTTTTGTTGATGAACAGAGAATCAGGGTTCGTCGTAGATTAATATGGTTAATCTATGGTTAGTCTTAAATCAATTATATCACAAAATCTATAAGCGAGAGCCCGCCGTGATTGATGGTGGCGGTATGAGTAGCCTCATCACCTGCTAGCCTCATTCATCTGTTGTGATAGTGATGAAGGGCGATGAACAGGTCCGGGGTGATTGGCACCCGAGTCCGCCCTTTACCCAAATTAGGCTTAGTTCTTTTGATCAGAAATTATGGAGGGTGGGATGGGGCAGGGGCAGGGGCAGGGGCAGCAAATCTTTTCAAAGAAAAAAGGTAGCAGCTTGTAAGCAGTTGCCGACAACATAAACCTCCTGCGCATTGCAAGGTCCCAAGGGAGAACAAACACTTTGAGGTTTCAGAAAACAAAAAGTTTTTGCTCAGAAAAAACGGAAAGCCAATTTTGAGAGTCATGGCCGAAATGTAAAAGCGGTTTTTAATTCATGTGGATTGTTACCACAAATCACGCATTGAAATGACCCTCTAAGAGACAGTGCATGGATCCGATTATGGTGCCACACATTGTTGATGACTCCACAAAGCACCAGGCTTGAATCACTTCAATCAAGTTCAATTGTCAAATACCATAAGGCCAGAAAAGGCCACTTTTAGCTTCCGACATGTTCATTCGATGATGTCAAATACTTGCTAGATAGCTTAAGGGTTCAACAAGTTGTGCACACATTGCAAAACACAACACAACACTAAAAACAAACACCGATCCTCATACCCTTATAACTGTTGGAGAGGAATCTGGCTGGCCCACTGAGGAAGACTTAGATGCTTCCATTATCACTGGTGCTTGCTCCAGACAGCTCTGAGTATCGTCACTGGCCATTCCTATGGTCATCTTCTCCACTTCTTCTTGGGTGTATATGTGGATCTTGGACACCACGTCACAAAATTCACTGCAAACAGAAAAAGCTCATCATATGCAAGGATATTTTAAACACAGCATAAGTCAACTAGTTTCAATGAGCATTTGAAACTTTGCAAACAAGGTTTGAGCAGTTTTCCCTTCCGAACAGGGCTGATGAACACTATGAAGAATTACTTATTACATTGTTATAAGTTTCTTAGCCCCCGTCTCTAGTTTCCTGTCTTACTGCTTTCCAAGCTTGTGTCTAACAATACAAAAATCATTCATGAATCTTCGATTTATGATTTTAAAGAAGTTGCTTTCTTTTTCTTACTGAGCCATAAAATATGGGAGGTCCAGATAAGAGCATGCAATGAAAATGCCAAACTCTCATTTAGTCATGCCCCTTGGCCTATGCTTCTTATTCACCCTGCCTGCTAGATTTGTTGACCACAAGGATTCATTTAATTCGATGAGAACAAAACATTGTGGCATCACTAACATGCGTTTTAATTGTGCAAAGCTCAAAGAAATGATGCAATGCTCAAATGAATTGTAAAAGGGAGAAAGTATAGCAAAAAGATCTAACATCTCAGTTACTATTTGACTTTAATGGACAACGCCATAAAGACATTGGATGTGCATAATTATTATAATGCATGCAACAAACTGAATACTGGATAGCAAGGAGAGTGAAACATACTGCCACGGGTCATCTCCAACCACCATTACATCATTCTCACTGTCAGTATACAAAACTCGCCACCCTTTATCAGCATCTCTTAAAAGGCCTTCCATACTGAATAGATGTTCTAGTTCAGTCATCAAGTCCTCATATCCATTCAGTCTTGAGAGATCAATGGCTCTTCCAACCAAGCTGCCTTGCTTGTGAACCTTCACTTGGTCAAGTCAAAGTCACTATCAGAGCAATAGGAGGTAAAGTTAAATTCACTTTGACCATAAGATAACTTACCTTCGTACAACTCCTCTTACCAGAATTTTGTGAGTTTGGCGTGGGTGATTCTGCAGTCAAGGAGAACCCAAAGAGTTTACATCCAGCCACATTTCCTTTGAAGCAGTCATCCTGTTGGTTCCTCAAACTTTTCCTAAAAGCAGGACTCGCAATACTCTCTAATGGCTTATGCTCATTCAATGGATTTGGTTTTCTGACACTGTCCACAATAATCCCCGTCTTAACTGACGAAGGATTAAACGAGACATTGCCTCTTAGAAACGTAGATGTATAAGAGCTCATTGTAGGATCCTGGCCAGCTTTGTAAAAGTCACTATAAGGAAAATACATATTTCGAAGGCCTTCTGATGCCAGCGGATAGCAATTGGTTTTGGGTGCTTGATGCATGTTGAAAGAATTGCAACCAAGATTGGTTTTTGCCCAAATGCCAAGGTTAAGATCAGCCTTCTGTGTTAGGGATCTCAATGGGCAAATTTCTTGACCTTGCAAGACCTTCGGAAACACATTAGATTCTGCAAAGCCTGTGTAAGTGGTGGTGCGAGCCCTTAGAAACTCACTAATATTAGTCTTTTCAATTCCTGTTGACACAAGACTTTGATGTGCTGGAGACTGCATCTCAAAATCGAGCGGGCGGTTTACAGTATCACGTTCGTATAGGGGTGATACGAAACCTACATTTTCTTGACCTTGCAAGACCTTAGAGGATCTTACTGATTCCTCAAAGTCCAAATATCCACCCCCTCCTGAAGAAAAGAACATTTTAAAGAATGCACATATAAATCAAGAATTGCAACACTACAACCATTCTAGTTAAAAGATTCATACCTGTGATGGGGGTGTCAGGTGGAGCAGCCTGCAGACCTGTCCGCAGTTTCTTCAACCTTGGTGAAGATTGAATACTCAAGGGTGGGAGAGAGACAGAAGGATCAATTTCCCAAGGGGACACTCTCTCTTGGTGATCACTCACAATATCTTCGTCCCACCTAACCTGTTAAATGTCATAATAAAGATCTTAAAATGTCATACAAGATCCATTTTATAGCTTTAAATTTTTCTTCTTCCATGTATCAACACAAAAAATGCAAAGATAGAAAAAACAAAAAAAAAAAAACATGTGCATGTCTATGCATTTAAACTGAAGGCCTCAATGTCTGATGATAGGAACAATTTATTTTATTTCATTTTTAAATCCTAAAATCAACCCCAAACATGAGCCAAGTTGGAAAAAAGTTTTTGACAATGACGCTACAGAACTCTTAAGTAAGAAGGTACAAATGGATTTTCGATCAGACAGTTGGAATATAGTGAATTTGGACACCTTCATAGTTGTTTTGTGCATCAATTACTTGCCATTCTTAAAAAATAGTTTATCAGAGTTCCTCAGTGTTCTGCATAACATACATATGTACGCATGTAAAGTGTTCTGATGAAGACCATATATATAAACTTGTCAAGTGTTGTGATAGAGACTACACCTGATAAACTATACAAACAAAAGCATAAGTAGACAAGCTAATATTAGGAACTCACCATTAAGCATCTCCACTTTGAGTTGGGCCATCTATAAGGATCTGAGTCCCCTATTCCCGTCACCACACCACTACATCTGCAGGAAAGTAGTTACTAGATTATATTCTCAAAATAAAACTATTAACGGGGTAAATGGGAAATGAAACAGGAAGGAAGTTGATTTTAGTCATGATCTGCAATTAGTTCAACAAGACCTTCTCTCAGGCGAATCATCCATTTCAAATCTCATTTTGAATCTTGTTCCAGTGCACACTGGATTAGTGATGCTTTTAATATACTTTTGGAAGGGTACAACAAACTCTGCATGACTGGCCCTGCATTTCAGCAATTTGAACAGGCTTACCATTTCATTTCACATCATATGCATCTGAGTACGCATTTCAAAAAGGTTTACAAGCTCGGCAACACAAAAACTGAATCATATTCCAACATGACAAAATGCATATCAAACTTCCAGAATGTACCTGGAATGCAATTTTCTAGAGCTACTTATAATCAAAAAGTTTAATCGTAGGAGCTGCTTTGCAGTCAGTTTTAAAATAGCCTGAATATTTTTCAAATGTACCATTCAGGCATTCAGTTATTGCAAAGCTCCTCATACTACTTCAAGCATCAGTTTCTCTTTTGATACTTCCCATGAGCACTAAAATTTTCAACCTAGTAAAGAACAATATTTGTGCTCTGCTTTTAGTTCATTTTCACATTCCCAAAATCCTTCTTTATTCAAGATTTCATTAGGTGAATCCTCTGGAATTGTAGGGCCAAACATAAAAGAAAATAAAATCTCCAAAGATGACCAGGGAGTTGAATGCAAGGATTCACAAAGTTTGCATTATGCTTATTGTTACAGTAGTATCCCAACAAGGCTAAATCATATGAGAACAGCAATGGGAATAGAATATAATGAGGTTTAAAGCAGTGCAACCTGCAGCCTTTTTTCCTAACATCTTTGGCTTGTGCCAACTGTTTTAATCCATTAATGTCAGTAATATACTTTATAGGGAAAATGAGTAATGACAAGAAAAACAGCTCCACATACGTTTTTTCGGTATTGTCTCATTCATGAATTTATTTTTGAAAGATTGCTGGAGGTGGTTAGTATTCAGAAAAGTCCAGGCTCTAACCAGCTGGTAAATCAATGTATAAACTCAAAGTTCAAAGTCATCTATGTTCTTTTTGCCTAGCCTTCGATAAATGTTCTTAAGCTAAAGAGAGGAGAAAAGCTCTTATCTAGGTCTGCCTCATGAAAATTGGCTAAGAATTTCAATCTTGTTAAATGGAATAATTAGCATATATAGATGGTCACTTCTCTTGAGGTTAACATCTGATCGTGAATAGTCACACACAGGGAAGTTCTAAAGAAATAAAGGATTTATATAGAGGAAAGGACCATAACACTGTTATCTCCAACACCACCCCGCTACGATACAATCACTGCAACTATATTGACCAATAGCAGATCCACTCAACTAAAGCAGATGTCCATGCTTACCAAGAAGCCATCACCAAAAGTGTCACATGAAACCATCCAAGTCAAACCTATAGCTCTAATACCACCCATTGGAGAGAAGTTGAGGGAGTGGAACAAGGCTTGATACATTATGATAAAGCACCATCTTGACCCAAACGCTTAAGCTACTGGTCATAGGTCCATCCCTATTGTAATTCCTTTATTTCTTTGTTACTCTCTCCTGCTGTGGGACAACTTACAATTAATTATGAAACTTGAAAGCTCCTTTATGCTAGTGGCCATGGTTTTGCACCAAACAAGTTTAATTATGTTTTTGATCGAGCAGCATGTCCAATAACATATTTGTAAAGGCAGTTGCATTTCGTATATTCGCTAGGATTATGCTGAAGAACTGAAGGGACTTTGTCTCTTATCTTGAATCCTGGAGTATTAGGACTTTGCTAACAATGGATCTATGCAAATCCACTACAGTCTTATAATGAGCTAAGGATCAAATACAATAATGCAATTTATTCCAGTTCTTAATTTTTTTCCTTTATAATTTATCCATAATGCTTTTTATTGCTTAGCCTTCATGCTTAGTAGAGTCGGATGCAATTTAATATAAAATATGCATGTGCTATACGCATGCTAGAATACAATTTAGCTCAAGAGGGAGATCAACCACACCAAAATTTTACCACTTTTTGTTTAAATCACTTACCAGCTGATTTCTTTTCTCTTGTTTCATTTTTTCCTGGCCAATTACCAGCTAAGTTCTTGAAGTAAGCAGTAATAGACTCGTACCTTGGACTGTAGAAGACATGAAACATGCTCTTGGTGGATATTGCATTAGCCACTGAAGAAAGAACATTTGGATATGAATTCTGTTTTGCAATAACTGAATCAGGAAGACCATTTCTTGGTCGTACAGCTCTTCTAATTCCCAATCTCAGCTCTCCACCTTCACCCCTATGATGTCCACACAAAAAAAGATCAGAGAACTTCAAATAACTAGGACATTGGAACACATGGCTGCATCAGAACTCTAAACCTTCCATTACATTTCATGTGTCAATAGATTTTTCAGATTTTCCAGTAGCATAAAGCATTTCAATTTATCACGCCAGTAGTATTGGAATGATGATTCTATCTTCCTTTTATAAGTTTTCTCCCTTCGACTAACTTCCAAGTATCAATACAGAATTGTGCCGTCCACTTTAGGAGAAAACATAATGAATTAATTAATTACTGTCAGAAGTTCTATGCATCTTTCAATTTCTTTTTTGGTAAAAACTATTCGCACCTCAGAAAGAGCACTGCATCACCAGCAACAAGATTCTTTTGACTCACAAAAATACTCCAGCCTGTTGTAAGGAGATGCCGCCTTGGTTGACCTAAAAATTAATAAAAATTAAGCTTCATCAATGTTTCTTTCAATTGAAAACACATTCTGAATGCTATAAGAAATATCCACTAACAGAAATGTCAAAACCTCTATCTGAATTACCCCTATATATATGTCGAAACCTCCACTCAACTCCATGCAGGTCTTTGGCAACAAGCTCTTGTGAGGGCCTCGTCTGTTTGTAATCCTGAAATTAAGGCAAACACAATTACATCTACAAAAAATTCTCTAGGATCAACAAGCAGCCTGGTAAAGTACATGAGAGATTAAAAGTACAAGATCACACCAGCGGAGGAAAGCAGTCTTCGGCAGCTCTACGTGGAACAGAGAACCCTCCATGGGTGCTAGTGTCAGAAGCTGTTAGCGTCTTGCAAAACATGTGAGGAGTTGATTTTGTAGGTGATCCTCCACCTCCCTCATCCACACCTAGCTCATCCAGCTGCTTGCTCTCCAAATTAGGCCCTCCCAACTGCACAAAATCCCAAATTAAAATCACTAAAACCATAAATTCGGACTGCCTCTTAGAAGGAAGAGGATGCTGACTAGAATTCATTCAAGTCACTAAAATCCTAAGAAGTTGCACTGTCGAACCCCATTCACCCATAAAACGTAATACCAAAAAGTCACAATTTTCCCTAAGATTGTACAAGTAAAACACACACTCAAATATTCAAAAACCAATATAAAAAGCCAATTGGCCATAGTTTCAGTGAAGAATTATATACCTCTGGCTGAGGAAGTAAAGTGACTTGTGTATAGACCTCATCATTCTCCTTATTGGCCTGAAAGGGAAAAAAAGGAGACTTCAATTTAAGCACCCAAATTTAAAGGAAAAAGGTATAGTTATAACCTTTAAGGGAAGCTAATTATAGGAAGAAGGCAAAGACAAATCAATGTAAAAGAAGAAAAATTGAGTACTTACGAGAAGCTGGACATTCACCACTTTGCAAAAGATTTGAGGAGGGAGATCAAAGGTGGCCATTTCCAAGGGGGGAGAAAGGAGAGGCAGAGGCAACTTGTTCCAAGTGACCCTGAGGGAAGTAAACAACAACATTTCCCTTTTTGGGAAGTGAAGTGAGAGGACCCGCACAAGCACGCCAAAGCTCCAAATAAATGGAAGAGGCACCAGGAGGCGAAGCTGAGTTTGAAGAACATGAAGAAGATGAAGAGGACAAACAGTAAACACAAGCACTGGATTTGTCACAGTCCCCATTGCAAAGTGCAGTCTTCTCCACCTCATTCACTGCATGGTTCAGATCAATTTCCATGAACGCCCCAAGTTTTATTTTTTAATTTTCTCTTCTCACTGCAAGTACAACCACATAACCAACTCCACCAGACAAAATATCAGGAAAACTTCAGAAAAGAGAAGAATGAGAGTATATATAAAAAAGGTACACCAGAAAGCTAAACACTTGAGAAAAATGGGGAATGAAGTAAAATCATTGCCAAGGGATTTTTCATATTTTTTTCAAGGGGTACCCACAAAGCTAGAACATGAGAAGAGTAGAAGAAGATGAACAGAAACAACAAGGAAGTCATGTTTTTGAAAGAGGATACCAAAGCCAGAATGCTAAAGGATAGAGAGTTGAAAGAAAAGGGTGTCAAATAATAACAAGAAATTCAAAGTATGATTCCTCCCCCATTTGCAGGTACTGAGAGGAGGGAGCAGGAGCAGCAGACATAGACAATTGCTTTTAGGAAGCACAGAAACAAAAGGCAAGAAAAGCCAATGTGGTGGTGGCTTTTGGCTTTTGGACTTGAAGAGAGAGAGAGAGAGAGAGAGAAAGGATACTGTGTTGGGTGGGGGGGACAAGCTAAGACAGTACAGAACCCACACTTCCCCAACCCCCCCCCCCCCCAACCCTCATCCTTCTCTCTTTCTCTCTCTTTGCTTTCTTTCTTTATCTCCTTTTATTTTTTTGTTCTGCTTTGAGTTTTCGACTTATTTTCTTTTTTCACTGTGAGGAAGGCCTACCACCAAGACAAAAGGGGGGGTTTTCAATTCGATGCAACAAAAACCAACGTCTCTTTTCAACTTTTTTTTTTCTGAATAAAACAATAAGATAATTCTAACAATTAACACAACCCAATGTAGCTGAAACTCTACTTGCCTTACAAATAATATCCATTTTTGTCCAAAATTTTATTTTTTCCTTCCGTTAATTCATTCCTCGATACTAATTAAATGATTTTTTATTTGAATAATGATGAATTCTTTCAAAAATTAGAGGAAAAAAAAGTGTACATTGGTACCTTGGTGTAGTACAAAAGAATAGGCCAAAAATTAAGGTGGATAAAATATGTACAGTTTCTGATTTTATTCAGTACAGAAAATAGACATGGACATATAAATTCATAAATAAATAAATTAAAAGGATTAAAAAAATAGACGTAGAAAGTAAAATTTAAACTAAAAAAAGGGGAAAAAAAAAAAGAGAGAGAGTTGTCAATGTAAGAAGGATGGGGCCAAGGGTACTTTTGGCAGCAACTATGGTGGGCGTGTTGTGTTGTTAGTTGTTAGGACTCAGTGACTCAGAGCGGCAGCAGCAGTCCACTCTTTTGTATCTCTAGTCTCATCACCCTCTCTCTCCCTCTCTTCCCCTTTCTTTTCTTTTCATTCTTCTCACTAATTTCTTTGCCTTTTTGCTAGAGCGCGTGACAGTTTCCTCTATTTCTTTTTTTTTCCTTTTTTTTAAACACCTCAAAATTATATTTATCCTATGGTTTTTTTTCCCTTATTTATCATTTGGATCATGAATCTAGAACAAGTAATCTTCCTTCTTTAAGATAAAAGGAGCTTTAAAAATCCCTAATTTTGAGTTAAATATTAATTTTTTTTCAGAATAATAAAATTCATAAATTTTATTACCTATTGAATTAAACGCTTTTTAACCATACTCCAAACTTGAAAATAAATCAATATATGATATAGTAAAGTAATTAAGTATATATATATATATTATTAAACGAGATAGAAATGATCACATTTTTCACTTGAATTGTTTAGGTGGCTAGGGTGACTGCAGAATTTAAAGAAAGATATTATTACATTTTCATTTGTATCAAATAAATTTTTAAAAAAAGAAATTGAGTTGATGTAATATGAATTCGTTTATATATCAATATCTTTTAATTAGTTGCTTATGTTTTAAAAGATAATTTGATTCTATTTCATAGTAAGTTGTACGAAAATAAATATACAAATTTCGAAAAAAGGATCCGTAATTCATAAATTTTTAGTAAGTCATTTGGTAGGAGTATTAATTTATAGTAATTTATAGAGAAGTAAATTTTTAAAAAAAAAATAAAAAAAGAAAAAACAGAAAGAAAAGAGCAATGGATATGTAAAATGCACGCGAGAAAGAGGGGAGTAAGCGAGGATTTTATCAGCGAAAGTGATGCCATCGGATGGCCTGCGCCTTTGGCGCTGCTTCATAGCCCCCACCACCTACATTCCCCTCTCTCACGCCTCGGTTTTCCCGACCCTATCAACCCTTCCGTTTGCACTCTATTTACTAATTCACGCCACCAACGGAATTATTGCTTTTATATAAATAATAATAACTTTTTTATAAATTATTATTTGTTTTTCTAATAATAATATTAATTAATTTAAATTTAAAATGCTTTTGAACAAATTTTTTATTAATTGATGGAAATACAAAATTAGTTATTTAAAAAAAAGGATAAATTAAAGCATGTAAAATGACATTTTTCCCAAAATTATTTGTCCAACTTAAATGAGAGGGGATAGAGGCAAAGCTCAAAAGAAAATAAGCTACCAAAAAGCAAAGTGTACAAGTTAAAGAATAGTAACAGTTATGGGCGGTTCGAAATGATGAAGACAGGTTAACCCCTGAAACAGAAGAAATTTATGCAAAATTAAATCTAGCGATGACAGATCAATATGCACATCCTCACATGTATTATAGACTTTTCGTTCTTTGATTTTTTCCTAGCCTAACATTTCAATATATGCATACAGGTAAGGTAAAACTTCTTTATGAAATTATGCTCTCTGTTAATATATATATATATAATTGCGTTGGATATGGTCACCAGTGAGTGTAAATTTTGGGATAATTATCTAATACTAAATATCAATAAAATAAAATTTCCCACCACCACCTCATAGAATATCTATAATCAGTTATCTTGTTAAAGTTTGAGGGTTGTGTTGGGTTTGAATCACATCATAGGCTGAATTGATTAGTTAAATAAAAGTAATCTTGTTCACGTCTTAATGGAGTGTTTTCTGTATCAAGCTTTAAATAAGTTCCTAAATGAATTATTAACTAAACTACCAGGATACATAAATGAGTTGAGCTCACCTAATGTCTAAGCTTAACTTATACATTAATGAGTTTTATGATCCTATTTAAATATCTTTCATTTAAGTTATATAAATTAACACATAAAAAAATTATAATACTCTTTATTGCAAAAGAAAAAAGAAATAATTGCTTAAACGTGTTTGGTCCAAAATTTTGCGGCAATTGAAACAATTTGTTTGTCAAGCCATTGAATGCTTTGTGTAAATGCTGAGATTATAATTATTTAAACTTTTAAAAGCCCAATATATGATCAAGTGACAAGGAGGAGTTACCTTGCCTCTTAACACATTAAGGTAAGTAGGCAGAAATGGGATTTTTTTTTGTTCTATTTTCTTAATAAATGCAAAAGAACGTGGACGGAGGACAAGAAAGAAATGGACAACACAGTTTTTTGGCTGTCCGTGTTGGTGTTTGGGTTCGGCTTATGCAGAGAGTGTGGTAGACATCTGGCCAGTACTCCCTCTCATTGTCCACCCTTGTAGGGTCCTTCGCATTGGTTGCCAAATAACGTTAAATGAAAATGAAATACCATGATGCATTTAGTTAGGTAAGTAACCCTCCAAAGATAAAATAATTATAAGGCTCGTTAATTTCACTCGTTGTTATCTTGACTAACTGAATCCCTTTTTTGGGTCCAGGAAAACGGGACAATAGCTTGTAGTGAACACTCAGTTTTGAATAATTTAATAAAGGAAAAATATAATTAAGGAAATAATTATAATAAAAGCAATCATTAAATGAGTGAACGGGTGAAATCTGTATTATCTCTAATATTATAAAAATATAAAAAAGAGGGTGGTTAGACACGGCCCCAGAAAGCACGTGGGGATTGCATGTTATGGCTTTTGATCACAAAAGCAAGGTGGCTATGGGAGAGACTGAGATGTCACACCAACATTTGTGGCTAAAATATGAAAGGGATAAGAGACTGACTTTATTAAAGGCGCTTGTGTCTTGTTTTATATATAAGTTGAATCCCTATTTATATATATATATATATATTAAAACATTAAAGGTATTAATTATTGATAGTATATTTATTTGATTCATAAAAGTAGTTATTATTTTTAGTAAAAAAATAAAAAAAAATTAATTAAGGTTATAGCTTCCTTTTCGTATTTTTTTATTATTTGTGACGATTCTCAATGGACAAATATCACTGATTATAAGGAAATAGGGGATCTAGTTATATCTATATATATATATATATATATAATAATTGAGCTCTCATGCTTCATTTCACAATAAGACTAAATTATCAAATTATTTTATTAAATCAAAATTATCAATTAATAGAAACCCACGTGATAGAAAATTCTACCATTCTTCCACTTGGACAATATTAATTGGAGTTTATTTTGACTTTAAGAAAATACTTTAGAAAACAAGATTCTAGATTGATTGACTTAATTTTAATATAGCCATAATTTAAAAATATTTAACCCTTAAAGACAACGTCTTAATGATGTTATCCAACAAAAACATCTAATATTGAATTATGACAATTCTTATGTCACTTATTGACATAAAACCAATCTATAGTTACAAATACTAGTGACTGTATCGACAATGGATCTCAATGTGGTTGTGTAGCAAAAAAATAACACCTAAATGTGATTTCAATGTGTTATTTCATTGTCAGTCCTCTTGTTGATTTCTTTAAACCTGGTGATAAATCCATTTCAACATTAACAACATGCTTGTATATTGGTATTGCCAACTCTACTATTGCGGAAGTTCTCACTGTGAAGGAGGCTTTTTTGATATTCTCAGCATCGATATGGAAAGATAACCATTCCTTGTTGATTGAAAGTGACGCGTGCAATATTGTTAGATGGATTAAAGATCCTATGAGTGCGCTTTGGAGATTGAGATTTTGGATGAATCAGATAGAAAAGTTAAAGGAGATATGTACAGAATGGGAAATCAGA